TACATGTGACAGCCCATCTGACTCCAAAAAGCATCTTGTGGCAAAATGGAGAGCAAAGGTTTATTGCTGATCCCACTCTTACCCAGCCCCACATGGCAGCCACATCTTCAGGTGGGAGAGACAAATGGGTTAAGCAGCAATCTGATTCCGGCAGGTGGTACGTGAGTCCAAACGAACAAACAAAAACCCAAAAAAACAAAACAAAAAACCCCAAAACCCAAAAAAGGTTACTGATCCTTGTTCTTTATTGTTGTTGAAGTTTACGATTCCAGTAAGCTCAAAACTGTCCTGAACATGGGCAGGACTTTGCTGCTCTTAGTTTTTTCTAGATAAGAGAAGTATAGCCTGCTTTGTGATATGGCCAGCATTCCGTGTAGAACATGCTAACTTTATGGTTCTTGAATACACAAAGGAGTCCACCCTACCCCTAATGCTATAAGCTACCCTCAATTCTCTAATGCTGTTTTTGTGTTTGAGGCACAATGTGAATGTGGACTTTGGAGATTTTGAAGACACACATTTGCACCCACAGTCCCTTGGTCACCCTTCCCATGTTGTTACTGTTTGAATGTCGAGAGTCACCATCTTGATCACAGTCTTCCACAGGCTCATGAAAATGCATTCATTTTGAATGTCATAAACACACGGTCTTTCTCTGGCACCAGCCTGACGCTACCCTTTGCCTCTTCCCTTTTATTCCCAACAGGTTGTACCCTGGTCTACACATGTCATAAGATCTGTTCAGCCCAGCTTTCCATCCCATGACATGTGGCAAAATAGGTTTAGTGTCTCCATCAATCAGAATTCAGTAGCACACGCTGGGGGAGGGTGGGAGGTGGCATACCAGTTGAGAACCAGTTTCCTGGGTCTTGGAAAAGAGCCATCAGGCAAGAGTTGGAAAATAAGTTGGTCTCGTCTGTCTCTGACTACTTTAGTCTCCTTGCTCTTCTAATCATCTCTGTTCACTGTCACCTGGCCATTCCAGACTCAACATTGTTAGGTCTCAGGTAAAAAATCTCGTCATTCTCACATCCCTGAGGAAATGCATTCCACTCCCAATCCTTGGGTCTCCATCTTCCAGGCCTAACTAGAACCATGACAGTGTCACTAAGCCGTTATTCCAGTGCCCAGGGCCACTGCATTCTCTGACCGAAGTGCCTTCTCTTCCTCATGTGATTCTTCCTCTGAACTTTTGGGAGCACCTAGCCCTGGGCAAGGTAATATCTCTATTAGGACAGAAGAGCAAGTTGGGGATTTTTGGAAAACGTTAAGTACAAATATAATAACGCTCTAAAAAATGTTAATTTTGACAATAACTTCTTTTAGTTCTTCTTTAGCTTTATTAGGACTTTCTCATCAAATTACAAATAGAGAACTTAGAATACTCACATATACCATGTAGCTTGATTTTTTTAAAGTTTTTTCTAGTTGGTTTTTTTTAAATGCTTTAGACTTTGATTTTGAAAGATCGAGCTGCTTTTCTTTCCTCAAAGGAATAGCAATGTGCTGTTGCCTCCACCCTCCATGTGACATTTCAACTTAGGAACATATGGGGGAAGAAATGAAAATTATCATTACTGTTCAAAATGACAAGAGGAAAAGACAGTTTTAAAATCAACTTTGAATCAAAATAATTTAATTATTGTTTGATAATCTCTAAATGTTGTTAAATATTTTCCATTAGAGATTTGCTGTGTGAAAAAGAAATTGTACCACATTTTCTTTTTTATTTTTTTAAGACTTTATTTTTATTTATTTGACAGAGAGAGACACAGCGAGAGAGGGAACACAAGCAGGGGGAGTGGGAGAGGGAGAAGCAGGCTTCCCGCGGAGCAGGGAGCCCGACACGGGGCTCGATCCCAGGACCCTGGGATCATGACCTGAGCCGAAGGCAGACGCTTAACCGACTGAGCCACCCAGGCGCCCCCATACCACATTTTCTTAAGATGAAATAAATTTCGACTTCTTACAAGACAATTATAAATTATATAGCTTTTGAAAGAAACCAAGAGTCCAATGTAGGAACTGATCCACTTTCTCTGTTCACATTGATTCGGATTAGGTGAAAATCCAATAGAATGTTTCATTGGAGATTTTGGTTTTGCTTTCAACAATACGTAGTTAATATTCAGTAGTTAGCTAATTTAATGGATGAACATGAATGGACAGCTAATTGCAAAAGCCAACACTTGCATGGCACCTACTGCATGCCTGGCATTGTTCTAAGCACTATTAACACATCTTAACTCATTTAATCCTCACAGAGCCACCAAAAGATAGACCACTATTGTTCATGCATGAAAAGAATCTGAGATGCAGAGAGATGAACTAAACTGTATCACACAATAAGTCTGTGAAAGGGCCAGGATTTACTCCCAGGAAGTTTTATTAAATACTATGCTTTAGTGCCAGAGTGAGTTACTATGACTTGTCCCACCAAGGAATCCTCCTCCCTGGATAATATGATGGGTTTTCATAAGAGAGGATAGATGAGAATGGCAGAGAATATAAGAGGACATGAATAAAGGCACAGAAAGTTGAAATGATCTGCTTACAATGACTCAGTGAAGCAAGCACATTCGTAAGTATTATAGTTCCTGCCATTGTGACTTTAGTTTCCTGCTGACAAAACACCCTCTTTCAGCTGCAATTTCTGGACTCTTTGAAATGATTACCAACCAGAAGTAAGTTTTATGGAACCAGGAACCAGAAGAGGATGTACTCAGAATGCAGGTGCACAATACCATATGTAATAGGCACTGCCTAGGGGGCCAAACTTTCTTTCACCTTTGGTGCTATTAAAGGCTTGAAGTATAATGAGTGGGTGAAGGAAGGATAAATATGGCTTAACACCCACCCAATAAAAAGTCTTGTTAACAACTCACTCCTCCCAGTTCACCACTGTCTGGGACAAGCAAAGAATCCAGCCCTGGCTGAGGGTGATGGACCCACAGTAATGGTGGACACTATTATTGTTCCTGATACTGTCACTGTGGATACTGGTAGTCTTAGTCCAGAGAATCTTTATTGCCTTTGCTTTGGTTAGAAATAAAGGGCTGAAGGGGGCGCCTGGGTGGCTCAGTCAGTGAAGCGTCTGCCTTCGGCTCAGGCCCTGATCTCAAGGTCCTGGGGTTGAGCTCTGCATCGGGCTTCCTCCTCAGCAGGGAGTCTGCTTCTCCCTCTCCCTGTCTCCCCAGCTTGTGTGCTCTTGCACTCTCTCTTTCCCTCTCTGAATTAAATAAATAAAATCTTAAAAAAAAAAAAAGGAAAGAAAGGGCTGAAGAACAGACCCCTGTATGAGCAGGCTTCCCCACACACTAATGTCAGGTGTTTGTGTTGGACAATTAAAGCCCACATTTCCTTCTCTGAAAACAGCCTGTCTCATGCTCAGATATGACCTAATGCTTCATCTGGGACATGTCACAATCATTTTCAAGGATTTCTATTAAATTCCAGAATCAAAAAGGTAAATGGAGAACTGATTCATTAAGTCCTTTCTTTTCCCTGTCCCTTTATATGATTTGTTTTCTGAAACGACAGAGAGAAATAATAATTATCTGTTTGAAGGCTGTATCCAGACTCTAAATTACAAAACAGGACTTATAATCTTAGAGGATAATGATCTGTCCACCTGTAGATTTATACAGACTTCTTTGGAGAAGACTGACAAGTAGGGGACTTTTTTAGAATTCAGTTTGTCTTACATTGCGCCCAATAATTCAAAGCTACTCAGAGTATTTTCCTGAGTCAGGAGCCTTGAAATGAAAATGCCACAACTGTCAGCGAGAACGATGAGTGAGATCAATACAAACTGCCACAGTTGGGGAGGGGAGGAGGGGCGTTAATGTAGCACTCTTGTCTGCAAAAGACTGCATCTTCAGAGGACGTTCCAATACTGGACTAATGTGCCTGTAGAAGAACTGAGTGACCCTCTCCCCCTGGAGGGAGGGATGAGAACCTTGGGGTTTTGTTTGTTGCAAAGTGTTTCACAGATCATAACACCAGGACCTAAACCTTAAGGCAGGGGGGCACCTGGGTGGTTCAGTTGGTTGAGCGTCTGGCTCTTGGTTTCAGCTCAGGTCATGATCTCAGGGTCCTGGGATCAAACCCTGCCTGGGGCTCTGCACTCAGTGGGGACTCTACTTGAGGATTCTCTCCTCCCTCCTCCACCCTTTCCCCCAACAATAAATAAATCTTTAAAAAAAAACAAAAAAAAAAACTAAAAAATCATAATGCAAGACTTAGCTCCCCTCTCATGACCAGGTTTCCCATAGCCATTTACACTGCTTTTATTATTTCTTTGGTGGGTGTAGTTGTGGCAAAGTATAAAACTATTGAATGTCTGGATAATTTCGGTTGTGTTGGCAAGGCTATGCCGAGCTACTCTGACACTGCAGGAATCATGATTTGGCTGTGCATAGATTTATACTGACTTCTTTACAGAGGACTGACAAGTAGGGGACTTTTAAAAAGATTAGTCTGTCTTAGGTTGCACCCAATAATTCAGAATATTAAACTGAGGTCCCATTTTTTCAGTCCCAACACACTATCTAAATTTCCTTTTCATTGTTAAGTATATGATTACCATAAAGACCATTTTTCCTCACCCACCCCCAAGGCAGTTCAAATAACAAAAGCAAGACGTTTAAGGGCATTGTTTCTCCTGCTTTCATATGTAGCCTTTAACATGAGTTGTTTGGGTTTACGCAAGGGTCAGAAATGTATTCTCTTCATAATGTTCTACAAGACAGACTCATAGAAGTGCCTTCTTTTTATAGTGTTCCACAAAATAGACTTATTAACTTTGCTATTATTTCTAACTGATACTTCTAAATGGATACAGTCCATCAAAGTCTCTCTGGTAAAAGGGCATATTAAGTGTGGCAGGAAGCTCCAGTGTTAGTGCTGAAGGGGCCCATGCATTCAGCTCGTCTCTCCTCTGCATAGCTAAGATGACCTACTTGGCCACTGATACTCAAGACACCTTTCATTTTTTGTAGAGTTCTGGTGAGGAGGATCCTCTAGCCGAACCAAGACCATTCACCAAGAGTTCTGCGGTTAAATGTGATTCCAAACTTCCAGCAATTGACCAAACATCAGTCAAACAGAAACATAAAAGTACCATGACTCCAAGGAAGGTGGAGAAAGCAGGCCCCAGCAAACCCTCTTCAGGTGAGTGGCTGAGTTACTGAAACTCACAAAATCTAAAATCCCAGTATTATAGGTAATGACAACAGTCAGACTGGTGGTATTGGTTACACCTAGTGTTCTCCAAAGGGTGAACTCAGGCTTTGGAGGGTCCAATGATCTTATGCAAATGGTAAAATTCATTTCGGGGTAGAAGAGCAGGTCAAGGAGGTGTGAATTATGTAGAGTAACTGTTCCCACTGCCCATATTTCTGACCAATCATTGGCTTTGTGTGGCACTTGCCTAGAATTGGCATTTTTTTCATCTTCTTCACCCTTCTGGGGGCGGAATAAAGGCATTTGGCCCCAGGTATCAAATTTTATGACTCAAGTGAGAGCATGAAGAGAAGCTTCCAAAAGCATCTGAACACCATAATTTATAGCCAAGAAAGAGAGTAATAAAGTACTCCAGTTCTGGGGTTGTCCTCTCGGGGAGGAAAGGGGCTTGATAAATCCTCCCTTTTGTGCAATTTGGTAAATAATTCACTCTTCAGCTGCCTTTGAAGGGGAGACCAGTCCTCTGCTTGAGGCAGGAGTTATTTAATAGTATCCAGAAAGAGGATAAATTCAAGTGAAAGCGTAGAGTCCCTCGGGCTCATCCCCATCAAAGCCAACATATGGAGGACAAACTGGATTCCTCCAGAATGGGACTTCGAAGTTGGGGTAACTAGGTGGAAAGGTCTGCCTTCTGCTTGCAGTAGAATGGAAACGATCCAAATTAACTGCCAAGGAATTTGTAAATAGTGTGCAATTCATTTAAATACAAATCACAACTACTTTCTAATCCTAAATAGCTCTTGTCAATGCAACCTACCCGTCCAGTGAAGTCTTAATGCATTTTTAGAAAATGGCAGCTTTCCCTCAGATTAACCACCCACATTTTGTTGCTTTAATGAAGTTAAAAAAAAAAAACCAATTGACTTCCGAAATGATGTCCTTCCAAGCAAAGCCCGAACTCTCTTTCCTTATTTACTCAGGGGAAAGTATCGTCAATAGTTAACAATTTCTCATTTTGAAGATTTTTAGTAGGAAGTATGTTTTTAATTCAGCTGTTTAAGAATGGAATAGAGCAGATAAGATCATTCCCTAAATATTTCAAAATACATGCTGTAATTTATTGAATTGGGGATGTTTTTAATAGAAAAAAATTGAATTTAAATCCAAATAATGCAATTCCATTCACTCAATATAATTTCTAGCCTTCTTACTAAAACTGGGTAGCTATTCGCATGGGCTGCTTTGTCATCTGTGGAGAAAAAATCATTAAGCTGTACAGTTGAGGCCCATGAGATGATTTTGGTCTGTGTGATTAATACAGATGCTTTTCTGACGGACCAAACTCCATATGGAACGTACAACACTGACAAAAGGAAGAGTTAATTCACTTTACATTCTATAAAACATCACGTTTGAAGAATTACTAGCCTGGAAAACACCAAGGTTTAGGCAAGAGAGCCAAGTTGGCAGAAAGATATCTATTTCATCAAATGGGGGATGTTACTTGTAGTAAAAGGTTTTAAAAAGCACCGGCTTTATCGTCCTACTAGGACCCTAGACCATGTCCAAGATCCATGCAGGCAGGAGCTGCACTGGGCCCCGGCTGTCCAGCGAGGCTAGCAGTCCTGGTGGTTGATGCCAGTTGCCACAGAAGCCGAAGCACTTGTGCAGCAAACTGCGTTCGCGAAGCCAGCCAAAAGCAAAGCGTTGGTGTGTCGAGATCCACTCATTTTACATGTGTAGATGCACCCTCAGAGTTCCTTAATTAGCACAGTGAGATGAGCGCCCAGAGACATGGTGAGAATTTAAGCGGAGCCTTTTCAGGAAAAGTCTAGTTGAGTGGCGCTGGCAGCTCAGGGGAAAAAAAAAAACAACGAATACCCTGCTGTTGGAAAAAAAGAAGATTTGGGGCCTGAATTATCTGGACACATTGATCCAATCTACCAGGTAAATTTACAGGTTCTTGCTTTTCTTCACCTCTGCAGAGAAATATTTTCCTAAAGCTTTCTGGGGGTAATCCAAAGTCGGCAGTGAATCACCAAAACTCTTCCCATTTCAGAACTGGGATTCTGTGCAGAACTGAAGCATCAAACCCAGTGAAATCCCTTTGCAACATCTGTGTGATAGGCTAACCTTCCCCCACTGAGCTTTGCTAGACTTTTCCTGAATACAATAATATAGCTGGGAAATGTGGCCTGCCTTACATGCAAATCTGTGTAATGATAACCCATGACATAAAGGAGGTTTTCCTTGTATCTGTGGGAACTACCATCTAGAATTTAGGCTATTTACAATATAGGAACCAATGGTGCCCTCTACAAATAGATTTATAACTGAGAAGGTGTCAGATTTTCACTGGTCTTCACACTCTATTAGAAGGAATCCACGCATTTTAAATTAAGTTCATATCTTCCACGGAACTGTTGCTAAGTGAGTTGGCTTGTGGTTCTCCATGCTGTCTCCCTCCGTGTAGTGTTGAGCAAGTGCTTTAGAGTCAAAATGCTTGGATGAGCATCTGGGCCCCATTTCTTATTTGCTGTGTGGCTTTTGGGCAAGTGACTTCTCTGTGCCTCAGCTTCCTCATCTGTAAAGTGGGGGGTGAAAACAGATCCTACCCGCTGGGACTGCTGTAAAGATTCAATGATAAAACGTATCCTCAGCCATTAGAACGGTGCCCGATACCATAAGCACTTGGTAAATTACAGCATTATGATCTCTAGGATGGGAGAACTGTATTCACGAGAGAATGAACTAGAAACCCTTGTTTTCTTTGTCTTAATGTTGTCCCCCCTCCCCACAATCTTTTTTCCCCTTTACCAAAAATCAGAGTTGTATTTTTAAAATCCTGATATAAATGCAGGTACAGACACTTTTACTACACCCTGAATTTCCAAAGCAAAACACAAAAGGGGAAAAAAATGAATAATCAGAAAGCATTCACCAAGCCAGAGATTTGCTTTATCTCCAAAAAGACTTGGAAAATTCAGGCAGTGAGTCAAGACCCAGCTGTGTCTGATGTGCGATGGATTCAGAAATCCTATTTCATGATCAAGGTGGACACAGATACAGGGTGGGAGAGAAGCAGTTACATATTCTTACTTCAGAATTCTGTCTGGATCCGTGAGAAGCAGAGCAGTCTGCAGGCCCAGCGAATGCTGGGGGACAGAGAAGCGAAGGGAGCTACCGTGGCCTCCAACTCCTGGACTCCTGCCCGCATCCAAGACTCCGCCCAGCCATAGCCTAACTTGTAAAGGAGCCACCTCTCCTTTCCAGAACCTGCAGAGGCATCCAAAGGCCATTGTGCTGTGGGGTTCCGGCGCCTGGAGCCCTGCAGACCTCTCTGCCTCAGTGCCAGGCACACGGGAAATGAGTGTGCCCTCTCCTGTCACCTAGAGCTTGGGCACCGTCTCCTAGTTATGTGCCAGGAAAATGGATCTGGATGGAGTCATGGAGCCTGTTTCCAAAACCTTGCCCTTTAAAACAAAGCCAAGTGTTCTGAAATTATCCTCACTTATTACTGAGTTCAATGTTAGTCATTACCAGATTCACATTTTTAGGAGTAGCAAAACCTATTCAGCTTTATAATGGCTTATTGTGAAGATGTATTCTTGTAAAGCTAAGAAACAGCAGTGAATTCAGATTTAAAAAGATAAACATCTAACATAACTATGGTCTTTTTTGAGTTGGGAAATATTTATTTGAAGGGTAGCCTGGAAGAGAAATTTGGGGCAAATCCCAAATCTTCATAACTTACCTTGCAAATAAATCCTGTTGAAGATTTTCTTGAAAGGCCAAGATTAATGAATTTCCAGGCGTGTCCACTGGTGTCCCAACAACTTTCCAAGCCATCTGCCCAAGTAAGAAAACAAGCAACATAAGTGAATGCTCCCACTTCTATAGAGAGAATCAATTCTCAGTCGTTTATGGTAATGCTTCTGAGACCAGTGGGGCTCAGGGACGTCACAGAGTCCAGAATTTGAAGTCCTGGTTCAGAATCCTCCTGGTCTATCACTTTATAGCCCTATAAATGTGAGCTGGCAACTTCTCTGAACTCAGTTTCCTTATCAGTAAAATTGAGTTTATTACCTATCTCACCAGGTAGACAGGAAGATTAAAATCTTGGGGAGAGCCTAAGCCTTAGGTAAAGGTCAGTCCCCAATCCTCCCTCTGCTTATGAAGCCTACTCCCGCCACCACCCGCTGCTCCAGGGTTGCCATCTTTTTATAAGCCGCTCAACCAAAGCCATTTTAATTTGAGATACGAGAGAGGTTATAACTTTATTATAAAAAATTTTAGGGGCACCTGGCTGGCTCAGTCAGAAGATCATGCAACTCTTGATCTTGGGGTCATGAGTTCAAGCCCCACGTTGGATGTAGAGATTACATAAATAAGTAAATAATAAACTTAAAAAATGTTAACTATCTGATTATCAATGAGGTCATCCACTTATCCGGTACCTCTGGGATGTTAGCAAATCTATCCAATCGGCCCTGCTGTCCCAAGGAGGAGGATACCAGGATGCATTAATTTCCTCATCCATCACCCATTCATTCTGCACTTTAGCATTCTGCTCACTACATGCTTACCTGCCAGGGGCTGCATGGGTACTGGGGACACCGAAATAATAAACAGGACCTGCCCTCCAGGGGCTCACAGCTTAGCGGGAGGGCAGGACACCAACATGTCCCTACAAAGGTAAGTTCCACGAGCTTGTGGGCAGGGACAAGTGGGGGGAAATTCCTAAAGCACAGGAGATGTAACCAGGGGGAAAGGCAAGAATGATGTGCCCCACAGGAGGTATGAAGTATGCAAAGCATGGAGGAGAGACAGAGAAGAGGGGAAAGACAGACACACATCGAAGAATGGCAAGTCGTCTAGGGCCTTGGGCCTTGCAGCGTCCCCAGACTAGAGCAGAGGCATCATTTGAGAGCTTGTTAGAAATGCAGAACCTCGGGCGCCTGGGTGGCTCAGTTGGTTAAGCGACTGCCTTCGGCTCAGGTCGTGATCCTGGAGTCCCGGGATCGAGTCCCACATCGGGCTCCCTGCTCGGCGGGGAGTCTGCTTCTCCCTCTGACCCTCCTCCCTCTCATGCTCTCTGTCTCTCATTCTCTCTCTCGCAAATAAATAAAATCTTTAAAAAAAAAAAAATGCAGAACCTCAGGTCCCAGCCCAGATTTACTGAACCTGAACTTGCCCTTAATAAGATCTCTGGGATATTTGTATGCACATTTGAGTTTGAGAAACTCTGCTTTAGGAAGTATAGAGTATAAAGCAGACACCCTACAGGTAGGCAAGGACCAGGTCCCCAAGAGCCTTGCATGTCAAGCAGAAGGCCCTGAAGCCTCAGCCAGGGAGGGGATCTAAGTGGGAAGCAATGCAATCCAACTGGCATTTTAAAAAGCAGACTGTAGCATGGAAAGGGGGCTCGTGGAGGGTGAGGGCAGTCTGACAGGCTGAGACACCAGGCAAACTGTAGGTGCAGTGCACCCAGAAACAAGAAGGACTGGGCCTGGAGTAAAAGCAGAGGGGATGGGGGAAGGACTGGGCTTGAGGATGCTCAAAGAAGTACACCTGGCAGAACCTGGTGACCCCTGGGTGTGAGGATAAGGAAAAAGGAGGAACTAAAGAGAAGCTGGAGTTCTGGCCCGGAAAACTAGGCCAGTGAAGGATGCCTTTGCCAAGGCTGAGAAAGCAAGAAGAGAGTGGGTCCCATTCTGTGAGTGTTGTCTCTGAGGGGCAGGCACGCTGGCCAGAAGGAAACGCCAGGAAGCACCTAAGGATCCAGGTCTGTGGCTCAGCAGAGAGCTCCCGGCCGCCAGCAGGAATCCAAGGGCCTGGAGTGCAGGGGGGCTGAAAAGTGTCTTCCCAGAGAGAGTGTGTGGAGCAAGCAGATAAGATGTGGAGAAAGGACAGAAGGACAAGACAACCACAGAGAAACGATGTGAAAAGCAGGAGCTGCTCCAGGAGCCTAGGGAGACATTTGGAAATGAAGGAACAGATAATCACGTCAAATCCTACACAGGATACAATAAGGACTGAAACACCCCCCCCCCCCCCGCCATTATACTGGAGGTAATGGTTTTCAACTGTATGGTTTGAATGATGGCATTTTAGAATTGGAACTGATTTTCTGCTGCACTCTTTCCCAAATTTCTCTGATGATAAGTATCAGCAGGGAGGTAATTGATTAAAATACACATTCCTGGTTCCCATTCCTGACCCAGAGCGTCAGAATCTCTCAGAATCTCCGATAAAGCCGCCTGCAAAACCACGTCTTTAACAAGCACTACAGGTGACTGTCATCACAGAAGTTTGGACACCCGTCTCAGAGCCTTGCTTCTAGAACTTTAAAGTTGATGAGAGATACCTGGGGACTTTGATAAGCTGCAGGTTCTGATTCGGTAGGTTTGGGTGGGCCGAGATTCTGCATTTCCAGAAGCTCTCAGGGAACATCCATGCTGGTGGCTGAAGGACCACCCTTGGAGGATCAAGGCTAGAGAAAACACCTGTCTCATTTTGCAGATGAGGAAACAGGTTTCAAGAAGGTAAGCAGCTGATCCAAGGTGACCCAGCTGGTTCGTGGCAGAGCTGAGAGATTTGTCACGCACGAGGGGGTCTCTCTGGATCGTGACTCCATCAGGTGCCCACACTCAGCCTCCAGCAAGGTTGGCAGACCAAGTGTGAGGTTAGCGAACAAATCATTAACTTCACTTGGACGCCTCCCTCGTCCACCTGCTTCTTCCCCGCCTTGGTCCCTCTCCCTTTCCACGATCCCACCAGGATCTCTCGGCTTCTTTCTCTTTTCCCAAGCCTCCTCTCAGTAGCAGAAAGGCCAGATTAGGGCATGACCGCCACCTCCTCCTGCAGACAGCTGGAGGACTGGTGGGGGGAGAGTCTTACCTAGGTGAGACCCTGCCAGCCACCGTATGTTGCTGCCAGCACAGCTAATTAGACTGGCTGTGGGAGAGAAGGGACCCAGCGCTTCCAGGCAGGAACGTGGTGGGGAAAGAACCTTCTTGTGTCTGGCAGGGACGCCAGAGACTATTGGCTGGAAGAGGGTGTGATGATGAGGCCATGTCCCTCAGTTAACTCTTTGGTGACTCAGATATCCAAGACTGCTGCCCCTAGGACACCTGGACACACCAGCCCCGAAGAACACTTTTTGAGTTCTGATTCATTCACAGGCTTTTTTATGTCCTTTCCCACCGTGAGTGCTGCTTCCTGACTGCTCTTTTTCTTTTGTGCAGGTGACAGCAGCGAGCACCCCCTGTTCTGTGTTGAATATTCCCCTTACTGCTCCGTCTTTGCCTTCTCCCCCGTCCGGCAGCCCCATTCCAATTACTGCTGCCTCCTCCTGCCACTCGTGCCACCTGCCTCCCCGGCGGCCCAGGTCCCCTCCCCCCACCTCCCCCCGGGGCCCGTGCCCTCCTTCATGAGCCCGCCTTCCTGGTCCCCGGGGCCCGTGCCCGAGTCCCCGGCCACCCTGTGCTACTTCCCCGTCTCCTGCCCCACCCCGGCGGAGACCCCTGTGCTGTGCCTGCCGGGCCCCAGGAGGCCCAGTAAAATTTACCTGGTGTGGTAAGTCGCCCTTGGCCAGGCACACAGCACAGCGGCGTCGGGGAGAGGGGGACGCGAGGCTTCCAGAAGGCAGGTGGAGGCGGGGGGCGAGGTCACCAACAACTCAGGGGCGGTGAGGTGTGCAGGGGAGCAGGAAGACGAGACAGCCGCCGCCCCTTCTCCGCACCTCCTCGTGGCGCCGAGGAGCGAGCAACCAATAAAATCCCGTCATCTCGCGAGACTCCTCTGATGGCTTCACTCCCGCGTGGGGGCTCTTGCGTGGCGCCGGGGGCCACGTGACCGGGCGCGAGGCGACGCACCGCGCAGGTCCCGGGAGGGTGGCGCGGGGGGGGCGCGGGGAGACAGGTGCTGAGAGGGGACAAATTAAAGGGCTCAGTCACTGTTTACATTCCCTTTCCTGCCTACCTATTAGGCGCCACATTTCCCCAAATCAAAAATCCCACCTCCTGGGCTCCAAAATAAAACGTATTTATGGTACATAATTAAGCTCCAATTAAGATCTGCTCAGGGTATGCGAGACGACGCACGTCTCCAGCACACCCGAAGCGGCGAATCGACGCGGCCCGTTGTTGGTGACTGTACGGCAAGCTGCCTATCACACCGAGGAAGCCCCGGCTCTTGCGATTAAGCTGTAATTCTTCCCACCGTCTCAAGGAAGCGATTTTCAAAGAAGGCATCTCTTAGAATCTTGGCACCTCCTTGTCAAGAGGCGGGGAAATGGGGGGCGAGGGGAGAGAAGGTTTAGCAATTGTAATTTTCTCTGTTTCTTTTCGACTTTGTCTATCGAGAACCGTGTCTGTGTGTGCAAGTGACGTCAAGACCTGACCGATGATCAGGCACATGGAAAGAACATGGACCATTAAGTGGACTTGGTTCTCAGTCAGCAGGGCCTTGTATAAATATAAGATGACTGCCTTTCTCTTTCCTTTCCTGGTCAAATTAAGAACTATTCAGTCAACAATTACAGTGTCCCAGCATCATCAAGAGAACTAGGGCGGACACCTTTGATCTAAATAGCCATTGGGTTTCTTGGCTACTGGAGGCATCACCTTGCTCAGACACTAGAAGAAGCTACGGTGTAAAGCAAACCCGAATCTCCCCCCAAATTCACTGACAGACTTCAGGGTGTTAAGGAAATGAGACTCCTGAGCACAAATCTCTCCCTTTCTCTCAAAGGCAAAGGGTCTGTCCTACTCCCTGAAGAGTGTAAATGTATAAATATAACTTGGGTCTTACTGCAGGTTAATGTATGTCCCAGGCCACAGGGAGGACCATCCTGGAAAGGCCCCAGAGGTCTGAAGTTTGGTTCGATTTGGGTACGGGTAAGGTGATTAGGAACTGGAATCAGGGTCCATACAAGCTATGCAGCCTAGGTCGCCTCATTTGCGACTGCAATTTCAGGTCGTGAAAAAAGAATATTTTGTTAAGAGCTTGCTTTCCATAGAATCCAAAGGGTATCACAAGGAACAAGTCAACGGTGCAGTCCAATTGGATTACAATCTTTAAGGTCATGACCAAAATGTCTTACTCATCTTTGTGAACCCTCAAATTATTACATAGCAAAGGCACACAGGTATTTGTTGAATTGATTATAATAGGGAGTTGTTATTTGCCTTTTGGATTTTATAGAGGATTGAGGGAAGGAGTCAGCCAGAACAGCACAGCAATGAAGGCTGCTGAATAGATTATTCTCAGCCCATGAAACCTGCATAGCAAGTTTCTGGTCCAGTCCAGTTCTCTCACAGGAGTGACTTCAGATTCCCAGTTAATAGTTGTGATAGTAGTAGTAAACTGTTTATGGTAGAAGCTGCAGCTACCATTTAGAGCAACTAATAAGCACCTGACACTGAGTGAGGCCGTTTACGTACGTTATTGCGAAACTTGGCAATAATTTGGCAAGGTAGGAATATTCCCATTTCACAGCTGCAGATACTGAGGTTCAAACTGCCCAAAGTCAGAGGCTCCTGCCCACACTACCAGCTTCACCGCCAGACCTAGTAAAAACAATCTCTAGGTTTTCAGCTTTATGACTTTAATTTGCTGAAAACTCAGAGACGATATGGTAATTTTTGGAAAGCATTTAAAAGATCTGGTGCTTTGAAGAAAGCATTTTTTTTTTTAACAAGAAGACAAAAGAACCTGTTAAATTAAGTCATGTTGGATGTTTAGCATGAGAAAAAGTTTATTCTACTTTTGGAATCCCCTGTAGTAGCTGGGTAGCTGAATGCATCTTCGGAAGTCCTGCAAATCACACTAAGCAATATGACTATTTGTCCTACAGGAGACAAGGCAACATAAGGCTGGCTAAGACAGGATCCTCATCCTTAAGGAGCTTACTGTCCAGTAGGAGAGAAAAGATGCATACCTCAGGCAATGTTAGAATATGCAAATGCTAAAGGTCCTAGGAATCCTGAAAGTTCTGGCCAAAGCAGAGTCAGAGCAGAGACAGGGGCCATAAAACTGGAAACAGACCTAGGAGGACCTGCTGGCTGGGACAGGCTAGGGAAGAAAGGTCCTTGGGGAGGAGGATCACACCCCTGGACTGTGTGAGGGTGTGGAGGGGGCTGGGGGCATGGGGCTTTGGGCATGTGAGGTTCTGCTGCCCGGAGTGTGAAGGAAATGTGAATATTCTAATGGGATCCCTGCTAGGAATCAAAGTGCAATCCTTGTGCCTAGGACCTTTGGGCCCGAGCCCCAAGCCTGCCCCTTCCCTGGTCCTCCCTCTGTTGCTTCCTCAGTGAGAATTCTGTTGCCTCCTGCCCTGTCATCAGGTGAGGGGCAGGAGGGAGTTGCTGACTGCTGGTTGCTGGGAGGGATGAGGTCCTAGGTGACTAGGGAGAAACTCTTGGTGCTGAGAAGGTGCCTCCCTCACCTCCTCCGTGCTGGGTCCTATACCATAAAGCCCCTCCCACTCTCCTTGAGGTCAGGAAACTGTGTCTCCTCACCGCCCTACATCCTCTGAAGAATATGTCCTCATTTTCTGGAGAACTCCCTTCTCTCCTTCCTGGTCACCTCTCCAGGCTCCACCAACTCGCCCCACATGAGCCTCCACCACTGGCAGCCCCCTCTTTCTAGCACGTCCCCAGTAGAACATAGTCCCCTCTGTCTTGGGGGGCACAGAACCTAGTGCCTCCCCCTCCTGGGGCCCATCAGGAGAAGCAGGTAGTACCTAATCATTGTATTAAACTCGGCCTCATGAGCCGCCATGGAGAACTTTCATTCATTCCTGAATCTGGATGAAAACTATTCACACAATCACAACTTACACTCTGGAACATAAATCCAGTTGTCTTCATGGGCCAAGAATGGCTGCTCTCTCACACACAACTCAAGGACCTTCCCAGTTTTACCCACGTTGCCTGCTGGCCATGGTTATTTGTAAAATATCTGAACTGTCCAAGAGGGGATGAGCTGGGCAAATTCTCTTGGAAGATTTAGTTCAGATATTCACAATCTAACTGCCTTTTAAACCCAAGAACTTGGGTTTAAAGAGGGGGGTGGAAAATACTGGAACTCTTGCCCCAAACTCCACAGGCGCTGATGCTTCATACACACACGGAAGAAATGTGAGATTATTCAACCCAATTAGCGACCCAGTTCAAAATGGGAATTTAAAAAAAAATTCATTGGGAACTCAATCCATGTTAGCATTCCAGCTACCGTCTTCCTGTGAGTTTATCATCCTGGCACAGTGGTGGGTAACACATAACCAAGAAAACAGGTATACTTGATAGCCCAGATGCCTGGAACCTTTTGGAAGGCCATGTGAGCTACTAAGAAACCATCTGAGGATAGGCAAGAACAAAATAGGCTGTGATTCAACCTTGGAAGAGCAGTTGGGGAGAGGGCCTTTGTATGTCCCAACTGCAGGTTTTGACAGTGTTACCAATATGTCCATCCCAACATCTATGAACTGGAAGCTAGACACTTCTTAGCAAAAGGACACACCCCTTATAGACTCTGCATTGCAGGTGTCGCACATGCTCATTCATGGTGATAACAACCTTGCAAAGTAGGTATTATTTTCATTTAACAGGTAGGGAAACTGAGGCTTTAAGAGGTGAAGTGATCTGCCCAAGCTCACACAGCTCCAAGGTCCCAGAACCAGGTTCCAGATCCACCTCTTCTCTGACCACCTGGGCCCAGTCTCTTAACTGCCTTCCCCACTGCTGGGCCCTTTGAGTATTCTTTATGCAGAAGCTGTTTCCCTGTAAAAAAAATAATTATTATTATTGAAAAGCTTTTGCACCTTTCAGCAGCCCAGGCACCACAGATTTTATCAAGGAAGAGGAGGCCAAACCTGGGGAGGCTGACAGTCAGCCCAGAAACGCAGAGCCCAAGAGTGCCGGGGGACAGAAGCAGACTGAAGGCGCAGGCCCTCAGGGGACCAGGTAAGGACTCGTGGCTCATGCATCTTGGTTCTCGGAGAGAACTGACTTGCGCTGTTACCCGGTGAATTCTGTATGGTTTTTAGACACTTGTGCTTTTATGTGGAGGAGAGTGTACCTTAAAATGAAATGCTTAAAAGGTTTTGAAAACAAACCATTGGGGGGCGCCTGGGTGGCTCAGTTGGTTGAGCGACTGCCTTCGGCTCAGGTCATGATCCTGGAGTCCCGGGATCGAGTCCCGCATCGGGCTCCCTGCTTGGTGAGGAGCCTGCTTCTCCCTCTAACCCTCCCCCCTCTTATGTACTCTCTCTCTCTCTCTCATTCTCGCTCTCTCAAATAAATAAATAAATCTTTAAAAAAAAAAGAAAAGAAAACAAACCATTGGATCTAGTTCCTTCTCTGAAAGAGGCTAGCAGGAAAAGGTAGGGCAGGCGGAGAGTTTTTTCTTTTTCCTCCCATTTATTCTATTAAGTGTGATTGTGCATGGTTTTGAATGGAGGCCAGCAATTTGGCTTCTGGAGAGGGCATCTGGGTGGCAGGTGGTGGGATCAGGGTGGTGAACGAGGGGTGGAGAAGCAGTGTGCAACTCTGGGGATATCTCACCTGGCCCAGGAGGGGTGGGTGGATGGGTGTCTGTGGGTGGCAGACTGCTCACGTCCCACAGGGATCTTCTCGCCTCCAACCCAGGGTGTCAAGATCTCGGTGTGTAAGAAATAACATCAAAATAAATATATGCTTTATTTCCAAACACTGGTTTGGTGGATACCTCCTCTTTCAGTCCTGAGCATCCAAAGGCCCAAGCCATGCTGCTCCACTGACCACGTTACCCTCCCCTGTGGTGGCAGAAGGAATAGGACCCAAGGAGCCTCCATGGGACTCCAAAGAAAGTGACACTTGACAGCCAACCTTGCCATGGACCTAGTCTTCCCCTTGGAGAAACCACTGAGCATCCCACTTCCTCACCACCCAATGAATGCTGTAGGCTTTATTTTAACATGTGATCTATGCTTTGGTGGACACCTGTAAATATAGAACATGGTAGTGGCTTGGATGGCTTGGATTAGAGGCAATGAGAGCATATGTGAATCTACAGCGATCAGATGTCACAGGCTTCTAGTGATCTAACGCCTCCTGTTGAGAAGAGCAGACCTCCCTTCTAATTCCTCCCAAGTCTTCTTTCTCCCAGCCTTGGAGCCTGGGCTGGTCATGTAGACATTCTGGGTTATGGTTCCCTTGTCTAAAAATCAAGATAATAAAATCTACCTCTCTGCATTGCTATAATAACTAAAGGAAATAATACATTGATGAGCACCTAGCTCTAGTGGGTACAAACTATTGTTAGTTTCTCTCCTGCCACCTCCCCAGTGGCCCTAGTAAGCCCCTGAATATTATCTGAAAGGTGAGGTTCCCCATGCCTGGAACGTTCCCGAACCCATGAGGCTCATATAATCCTCCGCCTGTTCCCAGAAGACATTTTCTGTTATCCTGACATTCACTGAGAATTTGTCCTAATTTTCTGGTATATACTCAGTTTTTTTCTTATATAAGGATAAGGACTCCTTGTCTTCCCCCAATTTTTTCCTCACTAGTCTCCAATTCTTTCTCTCACATTCTAAAGTGGTTTGCGTAAATTAGAATAGGAGCCAGATGCTTGAATTGTATCAGGGAGAGATTTGAAGCAAATGTGACAAAGAAGTAATATATAGAAAGCTCTTACAAATCAATAAGAAAAACACGAATACCTAACAGAAAAATGGGAAGAAGCATAGCAGGCAATTTCCCAGAAGAATGCAGGTAGCAAATAAACATTTGAAAAAAACAAAACAAAACAAGTTGAATCTAAGTAATACATGTAAATTTGCACGAGATCTATTTGGCCTCCCAAATTGGCTAAGGTTTTTAAAATAATACTCAATACTGGTAGTGAAATGAGTAGCATTTCCTGGGCACTGGTTGTGTCAGGTTCTATGCCAAGCACTTGCTGGTGACACAGCTATGAGAGATGCCTTCATATCCTACCTGTAGGGTAATTTGGTACAAACTGGAATTTGGCAACATGTGTGAAAAGTCTTTAGAAGGGTCATCTCTTTTGACGTAGCAATTCCGTGCCCACAAATCTGTTCTAACGAGACACATAGTCAAAGATGTATGAGCAAGGACATTTATCATGGGGTAATTTGTGACAGCAAAAACCATGAAACAACTTACATACCCAGGAATAGGAGAAGAGTTAAATTATGATACATTTATGTAATGTACTTAATATCCTGTTCTTTTTTAAGATTTTATTTATTTTTATTTATTTATTTGACACAGAGAGAAAGACAGCGAGAGAGGGAACACAAGCAGGGGGAGTGGGAGAGGGAGAAGCAGGCTTCCCGCTGAGCAGGGAGCCCGGTGCAGGGCTCGATCCCAGGACCCCGGGATCATGACCTGAGCCGAAGGCAGACGCTTAACGACTGAGCCACCCAGGAGCCCCCTTAATATCCTGTTCTTAAAGAATAATCGAATTTATGGCAGGAGATCATGGTCACAATAAAAAGTTTAGGGAAAGAAAGCAGGACATAATGTTGTATGTACCCAAATATTCCAATTTTGGGTTTTTTTGAAAAAGTATGTCTAGAGAGCTCGGAGTTGTAAATTCAAATGCCTTCAGGGAACAGGCAGATATGGCAGGAGAAACACATATCCAAGGCTGTGGGGACTGAGGTAAACCAGAACATACAGCCTCCCCCTGCAGGTGGTTGCCTCAGAGTGCAAAGGCTGAGCCAAAGTACTACCGCAGGATGAAAATAGCCCGGGGGTCTTGAGTTGGCAACCCACCTCTGAATTCCAGAAAATAAGCAACAGCCATCTGAGTTTTGGATTTTTTCCTTCTTTTTCATCTTCTTCTGAAAGCTCCAAATTTTCTCCAAATGAATAGCGACTACTTGTATAACCAGAGGAAAATGTTAAAGGTCTATGGCTGTTGGAATGTAGGAAAACTACTGGTTGGTCAAGCACATGAAGAAGTCTAGGCCAAAGACATAGCCTGAGGGTAGATAGATGCTTTTTCTGGCTTCATCTTGTTGCCTCTATACATTCGGTCACACCTAGTTGAATTCCCGGATGTGGGAGGCCCTCCCTTCTGAGCTGAAGTCCACACGGGGCCCAAGAGGCATTCGGCAGAATCTGTAGGGCCCGGTCTATGAACAGCACATCCCGGCATACCAAAGGGGGTGTTTAGTCCCAGCCCTAGAGCTATGAAATCTGCTCCCTCTCTGATAGACGTAAGAAATCGGGTTAAAATAGCATAAATATAGAATGGTGCAGTCTGCCACCTTTAGGGGAAACACGCCAGGAAGGCCGATTGAACCCTTAAAGAGGAAGGCAGTGGTGGTGACAAAGAAGAGTGAAGATGCGCTCCCTGCGGTGCACTGGGACCCACAGGAGCCGCCCCGCAGCGACACTGGCTTCTGAACGCCCGTGGTTCCTGTTGAGCGTCCAGTCCCGTGTTTCAGAAGCTGCCCTAGCTGCTGACTTTGTGTAGGTGTCTTGACGCCCAAATTAAATTGGCTCAGGGCAGAGGGGCAGCGATGTCTTCAGGGACAGACCAGAACATTCAGGTTCCAGCGCTGGTTAGCTAATCTCCGAGGCCCTTCATCAAATTCAAAATGAAAAGTAATCAACCAGAGCCTGCATTTCCAAATCTCCTGTTATCGCTTCCCTCCGCCCCTCCCCCGCAAAAAAAATTATCAGGAGAATTCAGTTGGTCACATAGAAGCATGTGTCCCTCAGAACGTGATCCAAGCCAGCTCCACTCCTATACGCACACCGCCAGATGCTCAGAGCTTCCTGGAATTGCTGATACATCCCTTACTGGGGGTTCTAAATCCCACGAGGGGCCTGAGAGTAGAGCTTAACTGATTTCTGGAAGAGCTGATGAGTAAAAATGCACACCGCGTAGTCGCTGAGTGTCCCATGCAGTTAACAATAAAAGAGGCTTACAGAGTATTAGGACGTTAGAAACTGGTGCTCCCCGCGAGGCCCTCCATTAAAGTGAGTCAGTATTGACTTGGCCCTTGGCTGGGCCAGATGCTCTGAGGATTTGCAAATCAAATCCTTGCGTGAGCTAGTACCCACATAGGCCTTCCTGAACCCTCGGAGTCCCGTGCCCTCTATGCGGTGAGTGTCTTCAGAAACTGAACAATAAGGACAGCAGCACCTCATTAGATCCTGCAGGACAGCACAAGGGGGACAGGGCAGGAAGGAACAAGAAAGGGAAATGGGATCAGAGAAGTACTTTCAGGGTCCTATCCACATTGCAAGGGTAAAAAAAACCCCGAGCAGCACACACAACATCACAATGGATTAGACAGATTCTCATTTTCGCGAGGAAATGGGAAGGCCAGCCAGTTTCTTAAGGGGACACAACCTGTAGCAGGCTTGAGTTCGAATGATCGCCCCATCACTTACTAGCAATACGATCTTGGGTAACTGATGGGACCTCCCTAAGCCTTGGTGCCCTCAGTTCCAGTGTGGTGTGATCGTGGTACCTGTTTCCTAGGGTTGTGAGGCCCAACTGGGTGTACGTAATACCGTTAGTATGGTTCCTGGCCTGTTCAGTATAAGCCCTCAGTAAGTAGTGCTTATTTGTTATTTTTATAAGGTAAGTTTTGACCATGTGATTTCACCGCTAGAAATTCCTACCCATTTGGGCACTTTGCCTCCTCCTCTCTGTACATCTCTTCATACTTTAGAATCAGGAGGTAGGGGGGAAGAAGTCTATCATAGCCAGAGGTTACAGATCGACTGGGGGGCTAGTGACAAAGAGAAGGTAATGATCTCATGAGAGTTATAATTTTTATTGCACTAAGCAGTAAATGTAACCAAAATCATCAGGGTAACTGGACACCAGCTTCTAGAGCCTTTCCGCCGATCTGCCAAGGTAGATTATACTCTCCTTAAGATTTTGTAAAGCTGCGTGTGAAGCAGGAGTGTCATAAATGTATGCTGAATGAATCCAGATGAGGGGGCACTGCTGGTTTTTGTAGAGGTCTGGTTTTCCTTCTCCATAAATACTGGAACGAAAACCACCATTTGAGAGATTTACCCATTATCAGCCCTGGCTGACCTGGACTGGACAGTCTTCCCAAAGCTTCTGCAGAAAAGACTTGTATCCTCAGGGTCACCCCGTCTCCCCAGAACCAGCCTGAGCTCCACAAATGTACAAAAGGAGAATCCAAGAAGTAGTAAAATGAAACTAACTCTACTGTCCTCCTTTTGTACCTCCAGCCATTTTAACCATGCATATTTTCTTCTCTAGGCTTCTTTGTTGCCTTGAGGGACTCTCCCTCTTGGTGTTAGAAGTCTTTCATCCATGAGCACCTATAGGAGAATGATAAACTTGTCTTTTCTCCATGCAGATCCAGTAGTTCAACAAGAGGGCCCAATGTGTGCACGTGACACTAAGCCGAAGAGGCCAACTCGAGAGAGAAGCAGCTTAGTTTCATCCTCACAGCTAATGACCATGACTGAGAATACCCCTGAGAGAGCCAAAAAAGGAGACCCAAGTGCTCTTTCCCAGAATGAGCCACATCCAGGCCTATGTCAGGCCTTCCAAGAAACAAACAGCCCTCAAGTGTTGAGTGAGTCCTTGGGGCCATCACTCCAAACCACCACCACGGGAGGACCAAGAAGGGCACCATTTAGGTTCAGAGACGAAGATTTTTATTCCATTTTGTCATTAAACCCTGGAGGAGAAGGTGATGACACTGAAGAAGAGACCCTAGTAGAGGAAGAAATTTTATTGGCTGGTATGCACCCGCCTCGTTCTCCTCCCAATCATAAGAGAAGTCGATTTCTTGGGATATCAGTCTCTCAGGCCAAAAATAAAAATTTTGAAGAAAATCCCGAAAATTGCAGAGCTAATTCTGTAAGAAGAAATGAGTCCAGTCATGGCTCATTAAGAATAAGCAATACAATGGTGCCAGTGATAGAGCCACCTCCTGTTGGGCCAAGGGAGTTTCAAGACCCCGAGCCACCTGACGGGGGGTCTCCTAAAGACAATGACAGTGGTAACAGTGAACATGAGGATGGCACCTTTCCTTCATGGGACACAAAATCCGACACTAGTCTAGATGGTGACCTCAATGCTGAAAATGGATTTAGAGATTGTACTTCAATGGAAGATAGGCCTGGTACCCGCGATTACGAAAGAGATTGGCACGCCTATTTAAACAGTTCTAGTAGTTCTCTTGACCGTTTTCTTTCTAGTAGGCCAACGTCTCCAAGATCACCAGTGAATTCATCTTATAACACTCCTGGATCATTAATGCATTCTGCTATGAGAGAGGATATTCCAGTAGATTTGTCAATGTCGTCTACCTTCGTTCACGGTGCAGACTCAGAGGGAAACTCAAGGTTTAATGTTCGTCAACCACTGTCCCCCATTAGAAATAGGAATCCATATGTCAGTGCTGAAAACCATAGTTATTTTCCAGTAAACAGTGCACATGAATTTGATGTCAGGGGAGCAGAAGATGTTACTTTAACAAGCCCATCACAGGGGGCTCCATTATACACAGAAGACCTCTTACTCCATCCTCAAAGCAACTTGTCCTTGGTGGAGTCTTCCAGCTCCTCTCCATCAAGAATGAACTTACAAGGCCATTTGCATGTGCCTGGGTCCCTGCAAGAAAACATACCTTTTACTTTCTTTGCAGTTTCTGATTTCCCAAATCAAAATGATAATGGAAACAGACCGGCAGTCTCTGCTTTCCTGGATGAAAAGGAAGCCACTAAGATAAAGGCAGACCCCGACAAACTCAAGAAATTACAAGAAAGGTGAGGAATTTTCATAATTAGATGTGTATACTTTTTTTATTCCATGCTCCCCAGGTAGAAATAAGCAGTATCTTCATTAGAGTGTCATGGGAATTTTATTTTATTTTTTTTTTAAGATTTATTTATTTATTTATTTGACAGAGTGAGAGAGCACAAGCAGGGGGAACAGTAGAGGGAGAGGGAGAAGCAGGCTCCCCGCCAAGCAGGGAGCCCGATGTGGGGCTCGATCCCAGGACCCTGAGATCATGACCCGAGCCAAAGGCAGATGCTTAACCATCTGAGCCACCCAGGCGCCCCATGTCATGGGAATTTTAAATCATAGATAGGCCTTTCTTTGGCATTTTAATAATTGCTTATATCGAGGGAATTGTCTATTTTGTTGCTCTTAAAATATATGTATCTATGAGGAAAAGTTTGGTGTTCCAGTTCAGTCTCTTCAGTCTTCTCAAAGTGTTTTTTTCCTTGAATACCATAACTTTAAGGAAGGCAAGTTTGCTAGACATGAGGGGGTTTGGACTGCTACGTAGGGCTAGCTCTTCTTTTTTTTTTTTAAGATTTTATTTATTTATTTGAGAGAGAGAGAATGAGAGACAGAGAGCACGGGAGGGAAGAGGGTCAGAGGGAGAAGTAGACCTCTCGCTGAACAGGGAGCCGGATGTGGGACTCGATCCCAGGACTCCAGGATCATGACCTAAGCCAAAGGTAGTCGCTTAACCAACTGAGCCACCCAGGCACCCTAAAGGCATTTTCTTTTTTTAAAATTTTTTATTCTTATGTTAATCCCCATACATTGCATCATTAGTTTTAGATGTAGTGTTCCATGATTCATTGTTTGTGCATAACACCCACTGCTCCATGCAGAACGTGCCCTCCTCAATACCCATCACCAGGCTAACCCATCCTCCCACCCTCCTCCCCTCTAGAACCCTGTTTGTTTTTCAGAGTCCATCATCTCTCATGGTTCGTCTACCCCTCCGATTCCCCCCCTTCATTCTTCCCCTCCTGCTACCTTCTTCTTCTTCTTTTTTTTTTTCTTAACATATATTGCATTATTTGTTTCAGAGGTACAGATCTGAGATTCAACAGTCTTGCACAATTCACAGGGGCTAGCTCTTCTTACCAGCAATTAAGAACCAGGATTTTTACGAAAAGGTTGCTATCTCCCCAGAGAGTGAACCACTCCTCACTTGAAGTTCACCAGCTCTCTCTCATGGAACTTTGTGCAAATCCAACCAACAGCTCTAGAATTTGAATCTTTCCAACCAAAAGGCCAGTCCCAACCAGTTACCATGGTTACCTGGGTTCTCTGCAGAGCAGTGCTGGGGTAACCACTGTTTCCATTTCCTGTGTGTTTCTCATGCATGGGAGAGAAATAAGATCTTTTGTGTGAATTGCCCTTTTCTTTGTTCTTTACTGTCTTGTAAGATGATTGGGGATATTTCACAACTATGAAATTTGATACTTTTTAAAGCCATCATTAGACACCATGTCCGGATTCGACCGTTTCCTTTATGACAGGTGTTACCACACCCTAATGTTGGCTTACTGATCTGGAAATGGATTCTTTGAATGCAAGCCTCCTTTGTGTATGTTGGTACGGCTCATTTGGGCCATTAATTATCCAACTGGTATTCATTTGCGAGTGGGAAAATTCCATGGCAGTGAATGAGAGTGCAGGAGGATAAGACAGGACACAGGATGCACCCCGACTACTCCTCTAGGTCTTTTATCCAACTGCAGGAATGAGTAATTTTCCTGTTGGCGGGACCTTTTCTTTTCCATATTACACAAGCTACCAGCACACTGACCCATGGTTAAGGGCCAAAAGGCCTCACATGCACCCATCTACACCTACCAAGAAATACACCTTCAGACCCACTTGTCGGGAGTCTGGACTTTCCACCATCCCAAAGCGATGCCTTTGGGCTAAAAATGATTTCTTTTAAAAGTGCATCCACATCTCGATGTGGCAATGCATTAAACAGCTATGTTTTGTACTTTATCAGACACCCTCTTTTTTTCTGTATATAGTAAACCTTATGCTTTTATTATCTTAAAAATGTTCATTTTAGGAAATAGGAAAAATATAAACTTCAAAGAAAAATCACCTGTAATCCTACAATCCAGAGATAAGCACTACAAAAAACTTTGCTTCCCAGTCTTTTATCTTTGCATATAAATGTGATTTTTAGTACACATTGGCTCATATTTTATAATATGCCTCATTTTAATATTTCAAAGCCATTTCTCAATGCCACTTATACTCTTTAAAAATTTCCCCTTGGTTAGTTACTTTAATGCATACAAATAATTAGGGAATTTGAAATAAAACAAAACCCAAATATCCCTGTGCCTACTTTCCAGCTAATAGAACTTTACTGGAGCTCTTGAACCCCTCACCCACCCTATCTCATCTTCCTCCCTCATCTACGCCCTCCCAACCCCTTCTGCCCCCAGGAAACCATTCTTGCATTGCATTTATCATTGTTTTGCTTTCAATTTTTAAAAATGTTTTATTTAAGTAATCTCTACACCCAACATGGGGCTCGAACTCACAACCCCAAGATTAAGAGTCGCCTGCTCTTCCAACTGAGCCATCCAGGTGCCCCTCCTTTGCTTTTAATTTTGTTGTTTTTGGAAGTTTTTTGCTTTCTGGTTTTCCCATAGGAATATATATATATATAAACAATATATTGTGCACATTTTTTAATTCTGTAGAAATGTTACCATTATTTCTAAACTCTGTAGAAATGGAATATCTATTCCTCTGTGACTTGCTTTTTCCCCTAGCATCGTTAGCGAGAGGCTAACCTTATTGATATTTTTGGCTTTACTTTGTTCACTTTCATGACTACAAAGTAGTCTGTTATATGAATATACTACAATTTGGCCATTTTCCTGTTGATGGGCATGGGGTTCTCTACTGTTTTCTGCAGACAGGGCAGCATAAATGTTCTTGCAAATGTGTCCTGGTGCACATGGGAAGAGTTCTCTGGGATATTTATCTAGGGGTGGAATTGCTGAGCTAGAGGTTAGTGCACATTCCACCATGCTAAATAATGACCGTTTACTGTCTTACTAGGAATGTATACGGTTGTACATCCTTGCCAGCACTTACATTGATTGGCTTTTCTTTCTTTTTTTTTTTTTTTAAAGATTTTATTTATTTATTTGACAGCAAGAGAGGGAACATAAGCAGGGGGAGTGGGAGAGGGAGAAGCAGGCTCCCCACAGAGCAGGGAGCCCGATGTGGGATCATGACCTGAGCCGAAGGCAGACGCTTAACCGACTGAGCCACCCAGGCGCCCTACATTGATTGGCTTTTCAAAATTTTGCCTCTCTGATGGGAATAAAATGATAGTGTGGCTTTGATTTACATTTAATTTCATTGACTGTTAATGAGGCTAAGCATTTTATGTGCTCTTTTAAATGCCAAATGACCATTTGTGTTTCCTCTTCTGTAAAACACTTGTTTATATCTTGTGCCCATTTTTCCTTTAGAATATTTCTCTTTTATTTCAGGAGTCCCTTATACATTCTGGCCACTGATCTAATCCCTTAACAGCTATGTGTTGGGAATATCTTTTCCCAATTTGTAGTTTGTCTTTCCTCTTTCTTGATATCTTTTAATGAAAATAAATTCTTAATTTTAGGGGTGCCTAGGTGGCTCAATCATTGAGCGTCTGCCTTCGGCTCAGGTCATGATCCCCCGGTGCTGGGATCCAGCCCCACATCGGGCTCCCTGCTCCGCGGGAAGCCTGCTTCTCCCTCTCCCACTCTCCCTGCTTGTGTTCCTGCTCTCGCTATGTCTCTCTCTGTCAAATAAATATTTTTTAAAAATAAATTCTTAATATTAATGAAGTCACATGTATCTTCTTTATGGATTGTGATTTGTATCTTCTTTTCTTGATGAAGAAGTCCTTTTGTAACCTAGGGTCATTATGAGATGCTTCCTATTTTCTTCTAAAATCTCTATAGTTTTACTCTGCACACTTAGGACTTAATGTGAAATGGGTTTTGGACTTAAATGTGAAGTGAGGTTTAATATGTGGTGTGAGGTATGCTTGATGAACTCCCAACTATCGCAAAATCTTTCCCTGCTAAACTGAAGAGCCATGTCTGTCATATAACATAACTATAAATGTCTGAGTCTGTTTCAGAGCTGTCTATTCTGGCCTGGTTTTTTTTCCTAATCCATTACCACAGCATCTTAATGTCTGTAGCTTTTATAAGTTTCAGTAGCCGATGGCACAAAGCCTCCTTCCCCATTTTGTTCCTTAAAAGTCCTTGACTATATACATTTCAGAATCAGCTTGTTGGGATTTTCATTGAAACTGCATTGCATCTATAAATTATTTCTGGGGAGAACTGACATCTTGGAGATACTGAGTCTTTGAATAATATGGTATATCTCTTCTTTTGTTTATGCCCATCATGGAACACTATAATTCTCTTCCTTTTCATTGACTTCCCTTTCCTGGGGAGGAAGGTCTCTGAAAAAACTGAGCACATACGTCTCTCTCCAGAGGAATGCCCTTTCTTCCTTTTCTTTGATTTTAGTCCCTAGCCGGTTTCCTTTCCTTGCCCAGACAGTCCCCAGTCCATGAGGATCCTAAAGAATAGGTCTTAGGCTTCTTAGAGCCTCCCTACATGAACATCAACCGGCTAGTTTTCACTCATCCTTTATTAGATACAAACATATTTGCTTCCATTTTCATAATTCCATTTGCATCAGATTCTAGCAGCTTACATTCTGGAACGTTGGCATAATTTGTTGGCCAAGTGTTGTGCTATTGGTGAGTTCATGTCCAGGTTCATTGGTTCATCATCATCCCGACCAACATCTGTTGAGTGATCTGTGTGTGCAAATACTTCACCAGACACCAGATGTACTTTATAGTCTGCAGAACAATTGCCCCGCCATCATGGCATCCAGTCTGCTCACAACCCTGTCAGCTACGTACTGGTGGTATTATCATCACATGGCTTTATGCATGAGGAAACAGAGACCTGAGAAGCCGAAATAACTTGTCCAGTGTCATCAAACTCACAAGTTTCAGAGGCAAGCCTCAGACCCAGGCCCCCTGCCCCCAGATCCCCCACACTCACCAACACGGCATACCACTACCTTCCACAAGAGTGGGGCTCCCAGCCTTTTCCATGGTTTCCTCTAGATTTCTGGTGGCAGGGCTGGTTCTTGTGGTCGGCTCACATGTGTCAGGAACTGCCAAGGAGCTGGATACAAGGCTCCGTGCACTTACTATCAGTCACCTGGAAGAATTTTCAGTAGGGTCGGAAGGAGCCATGGGGAAGCCCAGGCAGCCCTCCCCCTTTAACGTCCTGGGAAGTGGTGTTAGTAGTTGTAGTTTGTAGAAACTGTGCAGACCCCTGGTCACCAGGGCTTGTTTTCCATTTAGTCTCCTGGAGGAGGACTCGGAGGAGGAGGAGGGAGATCTGTGTCGAATCTGTCAGATAGCCGGGGGTTCCCCAACCAACCCCCTCCTGGAGCCTTGCGGCTGTGTGGGAAGCCTGCGATTTGTTCATCAGGAGTGCCTGAAAAAGTGGCTGAAAGTGAAAATAACATCAGGTAGGTGGGGAAGGAAGAGCCGCAAGCGTGCCTCCCATATAATTAGTGGGATGCTGCAGTGTGGGACTCAGAGCCTTGAGGGCAGCTCCCTCTCCTCAGGGAGCAGTCGCCGGGAGAGCCGTGGCCCCCGAGCCCAGGGCTCTCGTTCACAGCCCCACGGACAGCAGCCAGACTAAATGCTGCCTTTAAATGATGGGAGGGACATGAATTTGTTTTTCCAAGTCGGAGAGAAGAATCCTGGAATCTGCTCTTGAATCCTACCCCGCCCAAGCCTGAGCAGAGATGCTAAGTTTCCCTCCCAGGAGGAAAGAAACTAAAATAGGTCCGTGGTTGAACCTCAGCAAACACACAGCAAGCCATGCCCGCTAATGGACACCTGGGAAAAATGGTTCTGCTTCCTTTTATCTGTGGGAGAAGGAGGGTGTCACCTAAGAAACCGAGCAAAGCTGCAATTTTGCAGTAGGGGCAGGAAAAGAGCACTGATCTCATTTTCTAGAACCATATTAGATAAAGAGATCTCCATGTGCTGGCTTTGTCAGCTCTGTCTTTTGCAGATCTTATAACTGAGTGTGAAGTCCCTTCTCAACTCCCCGGGGAGGCTATAACCTAAATACAGCCACATGGGTAGGTCAGCTGGCGTTTTCTTGGCAGAGAACAGGGGATTTCTTTAAAACTTGATTTTGGGGAAAGAGGACAACTTGAATAAAAAGAACAGGGAAAAGCAATGCAAGAACTCAATGACAAATAGCCACTGTGTCCCTGAAAACCTTTTACCCCACAGCCAGGATCCTCTTTCTCTCCTCTTCCATGTTCTCCTCCTTGGTTATCCTTCTTCCAGGCAGGGGGGAGGGGGGGACACCTAAGAGCCTCATCCTGTCCCCACAGGGTGTGGCCACGCCCCCTCGAGAGAAAGAGGAATGGACAGTGGGACCATCAGACTAACTGTCTCCTCCTGAGCATCTTCCCAAGCAGGAGAAACCTAGGCCCACCACCCAAGCTGCTTAAACACATCTCCCCATAGTGAGCTGGCTACTCAGTCCTTCAGACAGGGAGGTAACAAGGGGATCTCGGCTGCTAGTGACTGCTGTGCAATGTCTTATCTTACTACAAATTTGGACCAATTAAACATTTAGCGCAGGAAAAAAATCACTCATGAAATGTGTAACAGAAGCCTGCTAAATGCTTGTAAACGCCAATTTCAGTAGAAATCGGAAGACCCAAGGGACACTCAGAAGCCTAAAGTATTACAGAACAGTGTTAAAAAAGAAAAAAAAATCAAGCAAACAAAATGCAGACATGGGATTATTGTTTATCCTTCTCTTTTGAAGTTCTCTATTATTTACTATTTATGTCCCCTTGAGGCAAAGTAGAACTGGGGTCTAAAACTGCACAAACCCTATCTTTACCAAATAAATGCAGATAACTAATCAGTCCTCTATTTTGCTAATGCATAAAATAAACACCGGCACATCATTAGCAAAAATGCAGCCACCCAGGCGAGGGGGAAAGACGTAGAGCACAATGTTTGCTTCGACACAGCATTCACCCAGATGTGAACACAGCATGGTCAACACAGATGCAGGTCCTGCATCTTCCAGTTTTGCTTTGGGGACTAGGATAAGCGGAGCAAAAGTGCTGATCTAGCATGCACGTTTAAAACAAAAACAAAAAAAGAAAGAAGGAAGGAAAGAAAGCCACTGCCACAAAGGAAAGCTTCTCAAGTTTCTTTTCCCAGATGAAGCTGAGCTTGGTCTCAGGTACTGCTTGTGCTTAGTCCCCATACGTGGCCCCCGGCCCCCTCACTTTCTCAGGTGGGACGTCACCTGGGTGAGGGTAAAGGCAGATTTTGGAACCACGGACTGAGAACAGCTTCTGCCATCAGTTTGGTCCCCATCTACTCATTTGCTTGGACCTATGTTTGGTCTGTCAGAAAAACGACAATAACACCACCACCACCACCAGCCAATATTCACTCTTTTTGGCAAACACCTGTGTTACAGACTCTCAGCTTCTATGTAGCAATTCCAATTTTATGAACCAGTACATTTATATTTAAACAGAAAGCAAGACCTGTTATTTAAAAGTCATGGGAATTTCACTTATATGAAGCTTGCATAATAATGGAAACGATTATGAAGGAAATTTTCCAGATCTCAAATTCAAGGCCCTTTTCTACAGAAGATGGCTGACTTTAAAAAAAAAAAAAAAGGGGTCACTGAAACTCAGAATTCATAATACACATGAGTTCACTCCCAAAATGTCAACACGAAGAGATACAGAGTGTCAACACATAAAGACCCAGGGTTATTTGTAACAAAGAATTCTTTAATTTAAGGAGCGGATCTAGGCGCTGTGAAGACCTGTGAGATGTGTAAGCAAGGCCTTCTGGTCGATCTGGATGATTTGAACGTGACCGACTTCTACCAGAAGCACCAGCAATCCCGGGTAAGAGACGCTCACACCACTCTGCCTCCGCAGCAAAGTCAGTTAGAAAGCACGGCGGGAAGAAAGGTTTCTCTGATAAGAGGAGTGTAGAAGGCCGGTGCAAGGGATGAGGCTGGGAGCGTCCCCTAAGCTCACTTCTCCAAGAAGGTGTGCTACTAAGTCAGACCATGCTGATGCATGGGGGGCGGGATTCAAAAGTTTTTGCCACCCACTCCCGCTATGGTCAGGAACAAAAGTAGGAAGCCACAGAAACTGACTGGACACAGAAATAGGAATAGTCTGGCAAGCTCCACACCCAAGTTTGCTGAAGTAATAGAAGTTTAATAGCAACAAGGCAAAAAAAAAAAAAAAAAAAAAAATCAGGGTCTTGGAGGAAATGGTTCCCAAATTATATATCAAGTAACTCTAGGGTAATAAGAAACTGCTTGGGGCACTTGGGTGGCTCAGTTTGTTGGGCGACTGCCTTTGGCTCAGGTCATCATCCTGGAGTCCCGGGATCGAGTCCCGCATGGGGCTCCCTGCTCAGCGGGGAGTCTGCTTCTCCCTCTGACCGGTAGGGGTAGCCCTCTTATGTGCTCTCTCTCTCATTCTCTCTCTCTCAAACAAATAAAAAAAAAGTCTATAAAAAATAAAAGAAACTGCTTTACTCAAAGTTAATAAACAGGTTATAAGCACCTAGTGTGTGCTTTTTAGTACCTGTGAATTAATTCTCCTGGAGCATTTGGATTGTAATTCTTTTTTTTTTTTTTAAGACTTTATTTATTTGAGAGAGAGAGAGCACAAGCAGCGTGGAGCCCAATGTGGGGCTCGATCCCAGGACCTTGGCATCACGACCTGAGCTGAAGGCAGGTGCTTAACTGACAGAGCCACCCAGGTGCCCCTGGATTACAATTCTAATGCTGTGAAAAAGTTAGTTAACCCTAGGGGGACAGGTGATTCATGTTCAGGATAATAGTTAATTGTTCAGTTCTCGGGAAAACAATCCTTTATTTAGAACTGCACTGCCCAATATGGAAGCCACAGGCCACATGTAGCTATTGAAAAAGTAGCTGCTTCCACTCAAGATGTGGTGTGTTGGGCGCCTGGGTGGCTCCGTTAGTTAAGCATCTAACTCTTGATCTCAGCTCAAGTCTTGATCTCAGAGTCATGAGTTCAAGCCCCACACTGGGCTCCACGCTGGGTGTGGAACCAATCAATCAACCAGTCAATCAAATGTCATTCTTAAGGGGAGTCACTTTGGCTTTCAGATCATTAGCCTGTGTCCAGACCTAAAGCACAGCTGAGTCAAAATGCTGTGCGTGAGTCCAGGCAATTGTTTAGTTACCTTTTGAAAATCCGAAAGCTGCTGGACAAAAGAATAAGCTACTGATGAGCATGAAAGACCCGAACAGTGCAAACAAGAAGTGCGCTAGATTGGACATAATGCCACACCAGCATTGAAGAGATCGGGCGTCAGGAGGTGGAAAGGAGGAAGAGAGGGAGGGGAAAAGAAAGGAAGAAAGAATTTCCTGAGAAATAAATTGTATTTTGACTCCATCCATTTTGAGGCCCAAGGGTCCTGAGTCACTCGGTCACCGCCCCCGGGCACGGAGATGAGAAAGTGAGGTGCTTCTGGGGTCCCACTAGTGAAAGGAAGCAGGCCGTTTCGGCACCTGAAGTCAGGGCGCCAGCCGGGGGGCAGGCAGCTTCCATGTGGTCACCTCAGAGACTATTTCAGGAAATGGAGCCTGTAGGACTTCCTGAGGACGACACGTCCAGACAAGGCCAGGTTATGTGGAATACTACCAGAACGGTCTGCAGACATCACGAGCATGGTCCAGCCCGGGGGAGTGCCTTAGCTAGTGAAGACTCCTGTTGGTTCCAAGCACCTCTGCCTGGTTCACCCTCTGTGAAGCTGCTACCACTGTGCACTGTTGGCTTTACCAATGGTATTTGCAGACTCGACTCACTAACGGTACATTTTTCCAGTGGTACTAAAATGTTTGCACTCCTCTAGCCAGAGGCAGCGTACCCCACCACAAAGCACACCAGCTTTGACTACAGTGTGAACCCAAATCTTGTTCCCTTCCCCAAAGTTGCTGTGTGACCTCAGGGAAACCACACAAACTCTTTGGACCTCCATTCTGTCGTCTGAAGGAAGGAGATCATTCCTCCTGGGATGGGATGCAGGAAAAAACTTGAGTACATCCTCTAATCCAGTGCCTGTGGAGAGAAAGATGCTCAGGGAATGGGAATCGCCATGTGATGGCCCCAGAGATGCTCAACCTCTCTGGACTCAAAGGAGGAAGCTAAGTGCACCAGGACCGGGCTAGGGTCCATCACTGAAGAAAGCCACCCAGCCCACGCTGGGGTCGGACCAATAACCTTGGCGTCACTGCTTCCTGCAGCTGCACATTCGAACAAGAACCATGAAAGGAACCTTGCAGCCAGAATCTAGGCAGGAGAGATGGTGGCACTCTCAAAGGGGGTGAGTGAGGAGAGCTGAAGGAAGGCCAGACGTGGGCAGGAAAAGAAGCCAACAAGGTGTGATGAAGCATCCTCGGTCGGGCACTGTGACAGTTCCTAGGCCTGCAGTGACAAGGGCTGGGGGCAGTCACCAGGATCGGGAGACCTGTAGTTATAGGAGAGAGTCTCCAACAGCCTCTAACCTTCAGGAGAGGAAAGCAGCCCTTATCACGCCCACTGCCCAGCAGAGAGAGAACAAGGAGAGTCATTACCCCAGCCGCTCTCTCCTCCCACCCTCTGGTCTCCCACCAGCACCTCCCATTGGTCAAACCCAATGAGAAGCCAGAGAACAAGGGGGCCTAGTTAATGCGATCCATTGAGATCAGCCTCTAGGCCACAGGGCAGGGTGGAAAGTGGATCTGGAGGGGAAGTGGAAAATATCCAGCACGGTAATTACTCTACATGGAAGCAGAATAGAGTTTAAATTAGTTTCAGCAAGAACCTGACAGGCCATCAAAGCCTTTTGAAAATGCCCTTCATTATAATCATGGGTAGAAACGAGATTGACAGGCCCAGCCTGGTGAGAGGACAATAGTCCCAAGAACCAACGTGCACTATTTACGTGCCGATGGAAAACAGTGGAGGGCTCACCCTTTCACAGCGGTCCTGACCGCTCCGATGGCCCGTTGTGAATTTACTAGAGTCTGTTTGCTAACAGTCGGGGTTAAACTTGAGACAGTAGGGAAGCAAGATTTAGACAAGTTCAGAAACTCTCCATGGACCATGGCATTAGTAACTGTTGTTTAACACAAAGACAGGGATGAGGTAATCCATCCTCGGCTCGTCCCCAGCTGAGGAAGCCCCTTGGCTTGGCCTTGGAGTTGATGTGTCTACCTGGGCTTCTGAGGGCCAGGTCCTTCCCGACTCCCAAACCTTGGTCCTCTGGGCCATCTTAGCCAACGCTCCTGGCAAACAGTTTCTTTTGTTGAGAAGCTGGGTAGCTGGTGCCCAAAATAGACATTTTCAAAGAAAGGGACAAAACCAGAAGTCTAGAACTGACTTCAGTTCAGCCTGGGTCTCACCTAACCTCAACTAACTTGCTAACTCACTAATTTATTCTCTTATGCATTTTTCTCATTTAGGTTGGTTGGTTTGTTTTTGCTTTTCTTCAAGTATAAAAATCACAAACACATAAAAATCTGTTATAATTAAAATTAACATTTAGCTGCCTGTCTTTTTTTTTTTCTATTAAAATACTCATGCCCAGGCCAGGCCCCAGAGATTCTGAATGAATTGATCTAGGATGGAGCCAGGTACCATTTTTTTTTTTGAAGTGTGGCAAAATACACATAAAAGTGCCTATTGTAAATCAGATCCTGTGCTGGAGTTACCTCGGTGCCCAAGATCAACACAGTCACTTCCTTCTGATGGGAGAAGCGTAGTGAGGGTACCCCCAGTGTGGGAGGATCACAACAAGGGACGACGTGCAGCCACAAAGAGATCGGACCCACTTTCAGGACCAGAGAAGGCTTCCCTGAGGAAGAGACATTTAAGAGCAGGAAGGAAAAAGAGGAGTGAGCTATCCACGTGCCTTTGGGGATCACTGCTCTAAACCATGGAGCAAGAATTAGTAGCATTGTCAATGGCTTTGGGGGTGTGGAGGGGCTCAGACCAGAGAGTTTCCCTGGTTTGGTTCGATGCACCTGAGTAGGGGAAGTGTGCTTGCTGCCCGTGGGCCCTTACAGGGCATCGGAGTCTGATTACCCCCCATCTCTCAGACACTGGCTGGTTTCTGTAGGCCCCACAGTGTCAAGGCTTGTTACTAGGCTTCTAGAGGCTAGATGAGGAGCTCTGACAGGCTGTGTGCAGCCGAGTGGCCCCATGAGGCCCCAGGACCTGGTGGCCCAATCATAGGCCTGTCGGGGCCGGTGGCCACTCAACCCTCCCTCCCTCCTGACTTAAAGAGGCCTAAAAAATTAAGCCCCACAGGCATCCGTCCCCCCTGTGAGTGCTGCCCAGGAAGGAGTCGTCCTGGGTGCAGGCTCCTTACCCAGGAAGTGGCCTCATCCTTGATTCTGGTTGGGGCACTCAGTTTTTGGTTGCAAGGAAGAACTCCTGGAATTGCTCAAAGTAACGTTCCAAACTCCAAAATGGGCCCAGAGGGAGCAGGCGGAAGAACAGGCAAGATCACAGATTGTACACTCAAATGCCTCAGAGGCCAGGCAGGTCGCAAATGGTCGGAATCCCGCCAAGTGTCATCACAACAGAGTGGTCGCAACGGAGGCAAAACGGAGAGGGCTCTCCCCAGCTGAAGAAGTCGTGTTCATCCATCCTTTCCTTCCTGCCTGCCAACCAGAGCACATCCTCTGGCCAGATTCAGCTGATCGGCTACGGATTGTTGATCCTTGGCTCAGAGCAGTAGTTCTCAACCATGGTGGTCCCCAGACTAGCAGCATCAGCATCCCTTGGGGACGTGTTAGAAACACACATTCTCTGCCCCACCCCCAGACCCCCTGAATCAGAATCTGGGGGAGGGGGAGAGGTGGTGCCCAGCAGCTATGTTTTCAAAGGCCCTTTCTCTAATTCTGGTGCATATTCAAATTGGGAGTCACCAGCGTCAGAAGTCCTGACTGAATGGGCCACTGTCTGGTCCAAAACTATACATTTTTTGTCATTCTTTCATCTGTACGTATATTTATTGAGCACACACTATCTAGCAGGTGCTGGGCTAGGCACGAGGAACACAGGCGCCAACAAGGCCCATGGGGTCCTTGTCCTGAGTCCTATCTTTCATTCTTGCCTCTTACAGGATATTTTTGTCTTGCAAAATACCCTGTCCCCTTGAATTAGCTCATTTTGCTCTAACACACTGGGGAAACAGGCAGGATGGCGGTGACTTCTCCCTTTTTATAAATGGAGTCACTTTGGCCATGCACAGTGAAAACTCTGCCCAAAGTCTTGGCACTTGACAGCCCCAGGCTGCCCATCCTGGGGGCCCACGCCCACTGCGTGATGGAGATGTGCTTCTGTCAGCAGAGGAGGGTCTCAGCGGGCCTCTGGCTGTCATTACTCTAAGGCACAGGCCTGGCTTTCCTCCATCTCAGCCACGGACAGATGTCCTTGGACACACGCAGCCACCTAATCACCCTCACACCCGGGAGCATCTCTTGAACACGTTTGAAGACTTGATAGAACATTCAGCCAGGCTGTCTGCTGCTTTGAGTGGATTATATTGAGAATTTCCATAGGTAGTAAATCTCTTGGCCAAAATGAATATTAAACAAAACGAAGGGGTGGGGGGGGTGGCAAGAGAAAAGAAAGAAAAACATCTGGCAGGCAGCCTGAGTGCTCTAGGGTTCTTGTCAGTGGCTTCACAAGCCCCCTCCCTTTGAAGCCTGCGCCCTGCCCCCTCCCCTGTCTACACTGCACATGGGGTGTCATGGGGTGACATGGGGTGGGGAGGGAGGGTGAGGCGCAGCTCCACAGAATAATGCGCCAAAGCCTCGCTCATTTTGCCCTTGCCAAACACATGCCCTGGAACTCTCTCTGAGAACAGGTCCCTCCCGCTTGTGGCTCGGAGCATGAGACGACTCTGGGTTCACTAGCAAATGCAGCCTCTGATTGGTCAGCCTGGCCCCTCTGTGGAGCATCACAAGCCCTGCAAAGGGCGCACGTCAAGGAGGCCGGCCAGTGAGATTTATGGCGCCGCGTGACAGGTTCCCTCCCACAGACCCGAGAAGAGACACAATCTGCTAGAAGTGACTTTTCAAATTATCTGCAGAAAACATTAGTGGATATTTTCCCATCTGCATGCCTCCGGGCCTTATTGAGTCATAAAAAGTAAATGATTTCCCTGAATGCTTTGACAAACCTGATAGTTCCAAGCCATTTTCTAGCTGATTGATTTGCCATTATGCATCAGAGTGTCTCTGAGCATAAAGGCCTCCTGGTGAAGAGAGTGCTGGAGAGCAAATCAGTGGCAGCTCGCGAGAGGCCACGCCAGCGCCCCCGGAGCCCCCCGAGAAAAGCAAACAAGGGACAAGGCTTGGTGTGTGGGGAGCAGCTGAGGGGTGGGTTAGGAAGGCTTCCCAGGGGCGGTAGCTTCTAAGACAGGCTGCAAAGGAGGTGCAGACTCTGTGGGGAGGGAGGGGGCGATGAGAAAAAAGTGAAAACAAGCAACTTCCTCTCTGCCTGCTCTAGGCCAAGGTCAGAAGAGCACAGAAAACATGACCCAAGTCTAAAAATAGGAGGCTGACTGCTAAGGACAGTCGACGGGAGCCTTTCAAGACAGGTCTGTAAGGAGAGCGGAGGGGCCTTGAGCCGTGACCTTGGGGCCAGTGGGCAAAATCCAGACTTGGACCGGACTCAGAAGGAAGAACGCATCGATCCTTGCTCAATTTGGGCACATTTTCTGGCAACTGTTTCGTCCTGGAAGAGGTGTGTCCTGGGTCAGCTTCCTGAGCTGCCCTGGATGGAACGGGGACAAGGAGATGGGCCCGGAAGGAAGGGAAAGGCACAGAGGTGGTCCCTGTGTCAGGTCTGAGCTTCAGTTATCCCAGGAAACGGTCACACTTCCGGCCTCTCCCCAGGGTGAGGCAGAGGGCCATGTCCTCTGCTGGGGGCTTCCTGAGCACCGGCTGGCCCACCCGCAACCCCCCACCCATGGGGATTTGACAGGAGGCCAAGTGGGGAGACAAAGCAGCAGAGGGGGAGGAGTCATTCCTAATGGCCCCTAATTTACTGAAGGTCTAGGAAGGGTCCCCAGGGTGAGGCTGTGCAGCAGAAGTTGCTCCAAGGAGCTGAGGACCGAGGAGCTGTCATCAGCCAGAACAGTCTGATCCTCCCTGGGCACCTCCCTATGCTCCGAGCACCAGCGAGGAAAAATAAAACACAACCCACCCACCGAGAAAAAGCAAAAACATTAACCGGGGCAAGATGCAGTGTATAAAAGCAAGGATTGGTAATCCGGGAGTAAAGGAATGATTGGAACAAAGGAGGTTCATCAGGAAGGCTTCTGCAAGGAGGGGACATCGTGAAAACTGGAAAAGCTGTGGACACAGCCTGTGAACAGTGGGAGGGGGACAATCAAAACAGAAGCACAAAACAAGCCAACTGACCAAAAGAGGAAGAGATGAGCCAAGGCCCTGAGGTTCACAGTCCATCTGGGACTCTGCCGGGCGCACACTCACTGTCTGGAAGTTAAATAATAGACCAGCCAGGGCGGGAGCCTCAGGTGAGACCATCATTAAGCCCAATTATAGAGAGAGAAACATACAGACCTAAGGCCTGGGGCCTTTTCTCTGGACAAACGAGGGATCTAGGGAAATAAAACTGCGCTGTGGCATCTGTGTTCCCAGTTCTCCCACAGAAACGTTTGCCTTCCTAAGACACACATCCCGTTGTGTTTACTCCTCTGCTCAGAGGCCAGGAGCTGCACACAGGATGACATCCAAACTCCCAGTGCTGCCTGATGGGTTCCCACCTTCCCATCTCCCCAGCTCATACCAAGAAAATGTTTTCAATCCAGAACAAACACCTTCCCCAAATACTCCAGCCACACTCGTGAGTAGGGAATGTTGCCCAGCACGTGCTCTGCTCTCTCCGCCCCCAGGCCTTTGCTGGCGTTCAGTGCCTCCGTCCGACCTCACCAACCCTCAGGGCCAACCGAAGGCCCTCCCGTCCTTTAAGGACCATCGAGAGGCCTTCCCCATGTCCTAGTAAACCCGTCTCTCTCCCCCTGTGCACCTCCACTGTAGCAGGCACATCCAGCTGGAACTGGAACTGTTTCTGAACAAGGTTCTCCCATGTCAGATGATGGGCTCCCAGCAGGTCACGGAGACCTTTTGCCCCACGTTCCCCACAACACCCAGCTCAAGGCTTTGACATATAACTGCCCCATAAATGTTCACAGCATGGGATTGAGCCTGAAGCGTGGAGCCCTCCCAGGGCATCCTCCATTCAGTAGTAAAGAATTCCAGAACAGCCGCCCAGCCTCTACGCTGAATCCCCTCTTGCTCTGTTCTCTGATCCCCAAGGACAGGCCTTGCCCTGGTGTCTTGTTACTACCCTCCACCCCGTGATTTCTTTATTTTTCGTGGGTGGTTCTTTCCTCTATTCTTTTTTCTCCCTCCGCCCCATGATTTAGATCATGAATATTTTATAGATGAACTTAAAAGTCTCCTTTCCATATTTAGGCACAGAATGAGCTGATGAATTCAGGCTTGTACCTGGTGCTGCTGCTTCACCTCTACGAGCAGAGGTTTGCAGAACTCATGAGGCTCAACTACAACCGAGTTGCAAGGGAGAGGGTGAGTCTGGCTCTGACCCGCCCCTTCCGGCCGCACTTCCCCAAACCTTGCAGCGCTGGCGATTACATGTGCAATCTGTTGAGGTCTTCGTGGTCACGTGGGGAGGCTATGGTGCGGTCATCGCCAGGACGCAGATGTGGCACGGATTCTGTGTAAGTGTACGCACGGTGGCCTTCGGGCCGAAAAGTAAGCGATCGTTGCATAATTGCTTACTATTAAACAGGAGTAGTAATTAAGTGGTCATTAATGGTCATAGAAGCAAGTGGGTCTCTAGGGATATTTGCCCCCCCAAAAAAAGAGGTCAGCAAGGCTGCCGGGGCTGGGCGTGCATTATGTCTGGGCAATGCCCACTGCCCAAGCATGGAGGGTCCATGAAAACCAGGAGACCTTCCCCCAAGGAGAACTGTTTCTTTAGCTTTGGTTCCCAGAGTGTGTTACCCCAGCATCTCTGGGTGTGTGAATGCCAAGAAATAAAGGTGCTGTCCCATTTGGCCATTAGAGAAGTGACAGTGTATTTACCAGGGATCATCACCTGTGGCTGCCCTTCCTTTAATATGAGAACCAGGAGCCTTCCAGGAGGCCAGGTAGTTTGGAGAGAGGAGCCTGGCCTTAGCAAAGTCCCCCAGAATGTCCATTTGGCCACGGTCAAGTCAGAATGCAGAGCTCCCAAGAGCCTTCCCTCTAGGCTAAATGCCTGGCTGTGGCCAGGCCAGGAAAGAGCACTCCCTTAAGGCCATGCCAGGGACTGATCTGCTTTTAGCGTTTAACACCCCTCGAGGCTTGAAACTTGACCTCTGCTCGCATTAGAAGGTCATGACTGGCAAGCCACAAGGCAGCTTTAGTGACCCTCTGCCACCCTATCCCATGTCCCTCCCTTTCTCTTGACCTTCTCTTCTCTGTCCCCTGCTTCCCATCTCTCTCCATGTCTCTCTCTTCTTCTTCAAGTGGGTAAGGGGCACCAGTCCCTGCCCGGAGGCTGGAATCCAGCGATTCCAAGGGTTCTTGACCCTGTTGCAGACCTTCCAATGACACCAGGCTGCTGCCATCCATTTGGAGTCATCCCTGTGAAAACTGCTGGGTTCCAACCGTTAGTCCCGAGAATTCTAGATTTGTCCCTTTTTTTTTTCTTTTTTCCTGGCGTAAAGTCTCCCTTTAGACTCCCAAGCTCTTAATGAAGAAAACGGACTGGGCCTTGGCCAAGAGATCTCCTCAGGAATCTCACCCTCTTTCTGACCCAGGCCTGTCCTTCCTTTAACTCTTCCATCGTTTTAATGGTGACATAAATTCCTCAGAGAAATACATTTAAAAAAAGGGGGGGGGGGAATGTACAGGAAGCAGGAAATGATCCTTTGTTAACATTTCCATAACCTCATTTTCATGATTCCCCATCTTTTTTAATGAACTTTTTACTGCACATTGAACTTCAAAGCACCCAGGGTTTGATATAGGTTACAGATGGCCATGACGTCAGCAAGCTAATGTAAGCAATGCTAGCCTCCGGGACACACAGCACTGCACAGCAAACAGCAAACAGCAAACAGCACAGCCCAATGGGTGAGAACCGAGGCCCTGACGCATGGAGTCTAAAGAAGTTTCTGGTAAAACTATCCTAGAGAAGGAGTCAGTGACACCAGGAGCAATCTGGGAACCAAGGTGGGAGGAAGCAGGAAGGACAGGGCAGCACTCCTAAAGCTTACATTTAATTTAAGAAACCCTGAAATAGACCTCACCCACTAAAACCACCAAGCAATGACCAGTACAAATAGCCAGTGAAGAGGGACCCAAATGGCTTTTGTCAAATTCACAGTCTTCTGGATTTGAGTCTCAGTATCTTCTTGGAGAAGACACTCAGAATCTGAGGGTAACATTTAGCAAAAAAGAGGCACCATGTTGGGGGGGGGATGAACCCCTTCTCTCTCCTTTACCTATCAGAACTGGAGAACCCATTCACGTTGGGCTCCTTGGTTGTGTCTCATTAGGACACCCAGTGATGAATGTTTGCCCATGGTGATGATCATTCATTCACTCATTCATTCATGCCCTGGCCTGTACCAGGTGCTGAGATGGGGATCGGGGAAAGTGGCTACCGGACATGATGCCATGTTGTCCCATTCTTTGAGGAACTTCTGATCAAGGTGGAAGATGAGACTCACATATTTATAAAGACAGGAAATAACTGGAAAGTAGCCCTTGGTCAAGAGAACCAGTGGACCCAGTGAATTTCCAGAGGCTGTGTATTGACAACACAAGATCTTCCCTGGCTGGGACTTCCAGGGGTGTCCAGTGATCCCATAAACAAACAATTTGTCTCCTTAGTGAGGTGGTGAGTGCCCTGAAGGCAAAGCCGGGCCTTCTACACCATGCTGTTTCCCCAATGAAATGTACCTGTTCCCCGAATTCCTCTCCCTGCCTGCCCATGGCAGCTCCCCTGTACCTCTTAAGGGCCGACTTCAGTAAACTAGGTAAAACGCTAGAAAGAATCTCTGTCCGTGAGCTAAAAGGCAAAGGGCAGTGGGACCCCAGGCCTCCCAGGGATCATGACAGTGCCCGTGACCTTCCGGAGCGAGCACTGCCTTGCTCTCCTGCCCCAGGTATGCTGGAGTAACATTTCATCTGTCGGGAAACTTCCACCTGTATAACACTCAGGGGAGGGTCACGGGGCGGGGGGGCGGGCAGTGGCTGGCTGGGGGGACAGGCAGGGTCCTGAAGGAGCTCTGAAACTCCACTGGCCCATCTGTGGGTGAGACTTTCTCTGGGCCCTTCCATTCACACCGTTTCTACAAACCCCAAAACTCTTGCCTCAAAGAACCAAATCTACCCAAAATATTGGAGGCCCAGGCTTGGCCCTCATTTGGGAAAACTTCCCTACTCACCCAGATGGCGTTTCCTCGAGGACTGAGAGCTGGCTTACATACAGAGGCGGTCACCTGGCACGGAGTCTGGAGTCTCGAGTCTGGAGGCGGGATGAGGCCAGCTTAGCAGCCTGGAGGGGTTGGGGGTCGCGGTTGGCACAGTCCTGATGTAGAATTGACTTAGAAGAAAGTCCATCCTTCTCCTGCCCTCCCCACCCGGCCTGCGGGTGACGGGGACCCAGGAGCCACAGCTGCCCCCACACTGGCCAGCAGTTGCCCCAGTAACAGTGTCCAGCACCCCTTGTTTTGCCTTCCAGCCTGTCACAAAGCCCCTCTTCTCCCTCTCGGGGGGCAGAGCACCAGCCCTCTGCACAGGAGCCCACATCCTTGCAGCCTGGCACAATGGGCTCCCACGGAGTACACAGTGTTTCTCATTGTGGCATAAAATGCCATAAAGTCACAACAAAGACGGAGCCCAGAGCCTTGATGGGCCTGCAGCTTCCTGCCAGGCAGAGAACACAACTGATTGTTTAAAAGCCAGGGGTGAGGCAAGTGGCCAATTAGCACGGCCTTCACCCCCACGGCTTGTAAATGTGATTCTCGAACCCTCAGAATGGGCTTCTGCTGTTCACATCAATTGCCGAAAGGAAGCAAGTCTGCTCCCATGGCCAAATTTAGAAGCCCTGAACCGCCAACGAAGGTGACCTGGCTTCTCTCTGCCCTGCCTTTAGCACGAGGCTAAGCCCCTGCAGGTGCTGAATATCAACACTGCCCTCGGCACCTCTGCCCCTTTAAGGTGATGTGAGGGATTCCCAGAACATTCCCAAGAGCGGGGAATTATACATCTGTTCACAATTGCTTTGGAAAAACAATTCATTTTTCTTTGTCATCTTTCTCATAGTTGTCAAGAAATTACCCACAATCCAGACCGGAAGAAAATGAAAGTAGGTTTGGGGGTCAGTCCTGCCATTTTGAGGGTATTTGCTAATTTACTGTTTTTCTGTGACTGGATGGAACTTCATACTGTGGAAGGAAGTAATGACCACCAGCCAGAGGCATAAATAACCTCACAAAGCTTGGGAAAGTCTAGCGGCAGCCGTCAGGGAGTTGAGTCCCAAGTCCACTAGATGCAGAGCAGATAAGGATTTTAATTCATCCTGAAAGCAAGGACAAGGGCCAACTAAAGGGAAGATGGTATCGTCAGGCGGGCACAGGATGACTTGCTGCAGGTTTATTTCCCCTTTTCCTTTGCTGGGATTTTTCCAGCATCCAGTATTTGGGGAGCCTCTTGGGTTATCTTCTAAACCCTGGAAGGGTGCTGGTTAGCCCCTACAGGAAGGGACCCCATTCATTCAGGAGCCAGTGGCTGCAATGGATCGTCTCACCACGCCGCCAGGTCAGGTGGGGCCGCAGGATTCACAGGTTGAGCAAGGAAAACAGGTCTCCTGAGAAAGGTCCCCCAAAGGAGGGCAGGACAGCTGTCTTCCAACAAGCTCGTTATCCCATAGAAAACCCAACTGAAGAAAATGTGCTTAATTAAAGCAGGAGGGCTTGCAAGCAGACTCAGGAGGAGCTTCTCCCTCAGCAGGGAGAATAAACATCACAGTGGACTGAGGTGGGTGTGACAATTCCAATTCCAGAAGTTCTTCAGGGGAGAAATCTTACAACTGCCTGCCCTAAGGCAGGTTTAAAGTGAAGAGTGATCCCCACACTGGCTTTGCCATCAGAATCACCTGGGAAATTTACCGAAAGTGCAGATTCCGAGGCCCCTCCTGGAGATTCGAATTCAGACCCTGGGGGGGCCCCTGGTCATCCCGGCGGAACCCCCAACAGGCCCGCCCGGAGAAGCTGCACCGGCTCAAAGCTCCACAGGGTGGGGCCCAGATGACGACCCTCGAGAAGCCAGTTGATTATTCAGGGCACGCAGTGCTGAGAACCCGGGCTGACCGTTCTCAGAGACGCGGGGAGGGGACGCTTCCCTCGGTGCACAAAAGGAGCCCGGAGTGCCAGCCCTGGGCGCGACCACGGGGTCCATCCCGCCGGGTGACGGTCCCGGGGCCCCTCGGGGCCCCCGCCGCCAGGCCCTGTCGCCTGGGCGCACCCGGGGCTGCTGCTCCCCCTCCGGCAGCCGGGAAGGGAGCGAGCGGGAAGGGAGCGGGGAGATCTAGAAAAGACCTTTGTGTCTCGGGGAAAAGCGCCTCTGCGCCTCGCTCGCAGGTCCCAGTGGCGGCCTCCCGCGGCAGCCCCTGCGCCGAAAGGGCGCGGCCGCGAGCCGACCTCGGGGAGCAGCTGGGGGGCCCCCGCGGCTCGGGGCAGGCTCTCGGCGGCGCCCCCTCCCCGCCCCCCGCCCCGGTGGCGCCGGCGGCTCTTCCCGGTCCCGGGAAACCTGCGGCCCGCGCGCCCGGCGGTTCGCATGGGCAGGGGCGACCCCTAGTGCCCAGCGCGGGCCGCTATCGCCCTGCGGTGCCGGGGACCCAGCCTTTCCCCCGGGGGGCGTCCGGGCCCCGGCCGCAGGCAAGACTGCCGTCTCGGGGGGGCAGGAGAAGAGCATCCCTGGGGCGCTGCTTCAAAACGAGTCTCCGCGGAGGAGGCGCGAGGACCGTCCCCGTGAGTGCCTGCGTCGCTCGGAGGCAGATGGTCCCGCTGATCGTCACTTAGCGTCCCTCCTCAGGAAGCGGGGACTGGCTGGAGGATCCGCCCCAAAGTGGGGGCGGCCAGATCTCCCCTGGAACTGTAGGTCTAGGCCCTACTCTACCTGCCGCCAGCCCTGCACCATCCTGGACACGGGTGGAGGCCGCCGAGGGGGGGTGGGGGGCCCGGCGCAGAGGGACAGTCCTGGCACGTTGGTCAGGGGCAGCTCTGGCCTGGCTTCCCGCCAGGGCCGTGATCGAGAAAAAGCCGGGGCAGCCAGATGCCCACGCCTCCCGGCCTCCCCCTGGCCACACTCTTCTCTGGTCCCCAGCAGCCTGGCATGACTCACCTGGTTGGCAGCCCTTCGTTAAGATGGGTTGTTGCCAGAGCCGAGGCACAGCTGTGACCTGCTGCCCTAGCTCAGCTCAGGTGAAAAGGGAGGAAAAAGACGAAACATCAGGGCCCACCAAGTGGCACAAGGAGACGCCAGCCTCTTTGTGGCTCCGTGGTGCCCCTGCCAACGTTCTCACTGGGGCTCCCCCTCCCCGGCATCTGGAGCCCACACATGCCACGGGAAGCCCTGAGGTGGAAGCAGCTAGGGCGAGCTCCTGCGCGGGTGTGCCCAAGTCTGACAACTTGCCCCATGGCTCTATGACCCAGCCCCCTCCCCCGTCACAGCCGCTCCCCAGCTGGCACAGCCAAGTCCAAGGCCTGGGAGGGGAACAGTACCTCCTGTGGCCATCCACACGGGTGTGGACAGGAACAGGCTTGAGGGTCGTCAGGCCAAAGGCTGGGCCGGACCACCTCACCCCCATACACACAGGTCAAGGAAACTAGTTTTGGGGGACAGAACAGGATAGGCGAGGGCCCAGAGGCAGCTCGTGGGCCTGGGGCCTCCCTGTAGCTGAGGTAGAGGCTGAGAGGGTCCTGGTACGATGGGAGCATGTCAATTGCTCCTGCTCTTTGCCCTTCAGTGGTTTCCAGACAGTCCGGGAGCACTCACTCAAGCCAGTGGGAGAAGTATATTGAAAACAAGAGTCTCCCCCAAGAATAAAAACCACCCCCCCCAGACTCCACCTCCTCCACTTGGACCCCACTGCCTTCCAACTGCCTCTTTGCTCCTCTTCCTCCCATCACATGGCCCTCTACCTCCAGTCGTTTGATGTCTGAAAGATTTCTTAAAGACCTAGGCAAACCCCCTCCCCCCGATTTCCGTGCCAGGTTAAGGAAAGGGGCAAGCATGTGGGGGCATTACCCTGAGAGGAGGCAGGGCTCCTCCAAGGATTCCGCCTGCAAACCTTTGCTGCCCCAGGTCGGGTGAGGATGTGGACCTAGGAGCTTTTGTTGAGGGGCTTATGGCCCCTCTGTCCTGGCCTGGCTGGAAGCTCGGAGGGGCATTCCAGGATTCCAGAGAGAGCAGCCTCTGTTATTCACACTGTTCTAGGCACTGTGGCGTGCGTGCGTGTGTGTGTGTGTGTGTGTGTGTGCATGCGCGCACGCCCAGGGCTGGAGTGGGGGCAGGAGGGGGCACGCCCTCATCGGCGGAGCTCACCGTCCACCATGGCCCTCCAGCCTGAGACACCTCCTTGCCTTCCAGGTTCTGAGCTGGGGGATGGAAATGACAGCAACAGCCCCGTCGTCTAGCAAGGCAGCTGGCCCCCGGAGCTCTGCGAAGACATCTCCCCACAGCCGCTTTTTCTATGTCCCCACGTGCCTCCGTCCTGCCTCCTCTTTACTGAAACTGAAACCACAGTGTTTACAGTTACCATTTTCACCGTGTGCCCCTCCCTCCTTGGGGTCTGGCCTGAGCATTAGGGACAGCAGCAGGGACCCGCGCAGTTCCTGACGGCACAAGCCAGGCAGCCAGGGCTCATTGAGTCCCCGCTGGTGGCCCTGCTGCCCCCCCCCCCCCCATGGCCAGAAGCCCCAGGCGCCCGGCAGCCCCTGACCCCTTGCACGGGGCGCCTGTTCAGGCCTCCCTCCACCCTGAGTGGAATCAGGCCGCATCTTCAATAAAATGACTTTATTCACCCAGCTTCCTTTTGTGCTTTTTTTTTTTAGTCTCCACACTACTCTCCTATTTACACCCTAGGGCCCAAAGACCAGATCAAGATGTGAGGGTAGAAAAAAAAAAAAAAAAGGTCAGGGGTGCCTGGGTGGCTCAGTCGGTGAAGCGTCCTGACTCTTGATCTCAGCCCAGGTCTTGATTTCAGGGTCGTGAGTTCAAGCCCTGCATTGGGCTCCGTGCTGGGCCTGGACCTACTTTAAAAAAAAAAAAAAAGGTCCGGGAAGGTTAGTGAGAAAACTGAGTGTTTGTGTGCGTATGAGAGAGAGGCAAAGATAAGTCAAAAAATAAGGATGGAGGGAATGAAGTACTGATAGATGCAAAAACATGATGCTGAGTGAAGGAAGCCAGACACCAAGATCAACATAGTGTATGATTCGATTTACACGCAATTTCTAGAAAAGGCAAAACTATAGAGACAGATCAGTGGTTGCAGGGTTGGGACTAGGAGAAGAGACTGCCTGCGAATGGGCTCAGGAGGATCTGGCTGATTACACTGCTGTACCACTGGATCGTGGGGAAGCTTCTCCGACCAGATAAATTTACTGAAGCTCACTGAACTGTGCCCTCACAGTGGGTGAGCTCTATGGTGTAACTGTAGGCTGTGCCTCAATAAATTTTCTTTAAAAATGGAGGAAGGGACAGAGAATGAGAGAGAGGAGGGACAGAAAGGGATAATGAAGAGAAAGAGGGGCTTCTCCCTCCCACCTTCAAGACCAGGAGGGGACATTGCAGATTTTGCTGCAAAGAGGATTTCGCCCGAGATGAACAGTGTTGCCAACAGGGTTTTAGGAAGTCTGGACTTGATTGAAGTCCCTCAAAATCTTGTCCATCCCTGACATGCTCCACATTTAAAGTGACTCCATTCCTGCAAACTGGTGGATCTAGCCAGACAGCCTAGCTCCAAGATCCAAGAGCAAAGCAAAAGGATGCTCTTGAATGTTAACAGAACCTACGAGAGCCATTCCAGTCGAAAATATCTCCCTGATGTAAAAAACAACAACAACAACAACGAAACCCCCCCTAAAATCTTAAATTCTTCCATTCACAAATGCAGCCCCAAGCCCTAATCATTCTATGCGAAAATGGGCCTTTATTTTTCAACCGGATTCTAAGGTTGACTGAAGATGAAAGATTTGTCCAGGAGCCAACACTGAGAAATGTCTAAGAAGGAACAATGCATATTTAAAACTAAGTTGTATAGACAGCTTGATGGAATCCGAGGTGGCCCTAGAAATGTTCTGACAAGCCAAGTCTGCTATAAAATGTGACAGTGTTTGAGGTAGCTATCCTGAGACCCACCCAGGTTCCCGTCAGCCAATTTGGGTTGTTGAAAACGATTTCAACAGTTGACCCAGGAAACCAGGAGTGCCTCCTCAGAGATCTGGGGGTGGAAAGAGAGACACCACAGAACTGATGTCTACCCACACCATTAATTCTACATTACGATGGCCCAGGGGCCCACTGATGGGGCTTCTCATGGCCCGAGGTGCCCAAAGAATCAAGTCGCATTTATTAAAAGACCCTGGGGAAGAGGACTACCTTGCCCCTTTCTAACTGAGTAAATACTGCCAGAGTCTATTAGAGGTTGAGACCCAGTGGATGGAACATGAGTATTTTTTAAAAAGTCTTTGGCTTCATCGTGACCCTCAAACATGTATCAACCATCATCATATGCCAGGTTGTGAGGACACATGACAAATGCATGACGCCTACCCCCGAGGAGTATAGTCTTATTGGGGCAACAGATCATATATAGAAAAAGTCAAATCAAGGTAATATGAACCCACAGATGCCACTTATAAAGCACTTTCTATAAGCTGGGCCTAGGGACCCACAATAAGCTTGTGAGGCACATATTAACTCCGTGTTACATGAGAGGAAACCGGAATTAGGGTTCTCCAGAGAAACAGAACCGGTAGGATATATTTATAAATATGTAGAAAGAGATTTATTATGAAGGATTGGCTCACGCAGTTATGGAGGCTGAGAAGCCCCACCACCTGCCATCTGTGAGCTAAAGTCCCGGGTAAGCCTGTGATGTCGTTCCAGTTCAAACCTACAGGCCTGAGAAGCAGGGAGCCAACACTCTGAGTCCCAGCCCAAGTCTGAAGGCCCAAGAACCAGGAGAGCTGATTCTCCAGGGCAGGAGAAGATGGATGTCCCCAATCCAGCAGAGAGAAAAATTCACCCTTCCTCTGCCTTTTTGTTGTACTCAGGCCCTCAACAGATTGGGGAATGCCCACCCACCCTGGGGAGGGAGATACTCTTTACTCAGGCTACCCATTCAAATGCTAATCTCTTCTGGAAACACCCTCACGGATGCACCCAGAAATAACGCTTTTCCAGCTTATCTGGGCATCCAAATGGACCCATAAAATTAACCATCACAAACCTAACCTCAAGCAAGTTATGTGATGTGCCCAAGTTTACAAGGTGAAGTCAGTCTGGTGGCCAAGGCCACGCTCCTGGCCTGCCTGAGAGAGAGGGTAACATCCTTAACCAACTCCAGAAGTTGGGAATGGGTGGTCACCAGAGCCCCTGGCGGGGAGGGCTTGGGGAGGAGACACAAAAGGGCAAAAGAAGGGCATCTCTGCATGAACCAGCAGGGACGTTCAATGACCAAGGACCAGGTCCCAGGACACGCCACAGAACTTAGAGGTGCCGGGGAAGAAAGGGGAGAACATTGACTGGATCAGAAAGCCTTAGCAGAGCAGGATTTCCTGGAAACAGCTAAAACCAAACTCATGCCATCTGCTGCTATATCAGAAGATAGTCATTTTTTTGCATGGAGCGCCAGCGACAAATCCATTTCAAGGGGTGGGGGACGCCTGCTCACGCTTAGCTCCTCTCCTCCCTCGAGGGCTGGCAGCCTGCCTGCTTTTCTGGACAAGGAGGGACTGCAATCTACAGCTCAAGTGGTGCCGACCCTGGTGGGAGTCAGGATCCAAGTCAGCCCTTTCCTGGGGCCTCTTGGCAGCCCTGGCCCCTAAGATAAAGGCCTGAACGTCTGGGCACTTTCATCTCCTTGTCCCCCCTCTAGGCCCCTCCCTATTTCCTCTCCTTTTCTCCTTTCCTCCGCCTGCCCCCCTTTCTCCGGGTCCGCCCTCCAGACACAATGCTCTACCTTGTGCCTGTAACACGCTCAAGCGCTGGTGCTCAAGGCAGCTTGGCAGGGCTCAGCCGGCCCTGTTCCAGGAAAGCCATGTGGTGTGGCTGGCTGGCTCCTCACCCCTGCCGCCTCACAGTGTTGCCCACTGGGCCAGGCCGGCTCTGCCAGGACACCTGGGAGGAGGCCATCTCTGCCTTGACAAGGAGAGGTGGTGAGCAGGCCTGACACTGTTCTCCCGTTCATTCATGGCTCTAGTGAGCTGTCACTGAGCATCCTGGGGGCCAGAGCTGAGCCAGCTTAGCCCTGCAAGTGAAGGTTGGCCTTGGTGCCGGGCATACCATGCCCTCTGCCAAAGCCCACCGGGCTGGGTCTCAGGGCATCTTACCCCCAGCAAGGATGGTCGCAGAGGAGTGCTTAATGTTTACCGAACTGAAACGAGCAGAAGGGCAGGAGGCTGTGTACCCCACTAGAACCAGCACTATCCCGGAATCAGAGGCAAATGGCAACCCCCCCAAGCCCCCCCACCCACCCTGGCCCAGAGCCTTCCTCCTGCCCCGACAGAGAGCTGCCAGAGCATCCCCTTACCCTCCTCTGGGCAGCTCCCAAGCAGAAAGGCTCAGAACAAGGTTTTATGGGGGCCCCCCAGGTGCCTGTGAAGCTGTCTGAAATGCTTTTGGGTGGGGAGCGGGGCTCTGGTGGGGACGACAGCCACGTGAGGGATGGGAAGGAGAGCCAGGACAGGTATTTCTGGAATGATTTAAACCTCTGGACACTCACCATCACTACCCCCAGGCAGCACTAGGCATCTGCGTCCTCGGCTTCCTCGGCTGCTCCCCCCACCCCCAGGGATCCCGTGCCCCTGCCTTCACCCCCAGCTTCGCTTCTCTCCTAGGGCAAGGGTCAGCGACGCGCTTCCCAGAGGGCCTGTGCCCCAGGGGGCTCCCTGCGGCCTGGTGGAGCTGTCTTTTGAGCTGCAGACAATGGCAGCGCACTTAACTCACAAAGGGAGCCGTGTCCCAATTTGGAGAGCAAATCACTTCAGGGTGAAGTGGGTTAATCATTAAGGAACCCCCCCTCCATGGGATTGGGGCTCCCTCCCAAAGTGACCAGATCCGTCCACAGGGCCCTGCTGCTGCCCGTCAGGAAATCCGCTGCTGGGGCTGCAGGGGGGAGAGATCGTGAGAAGGACCTCCGGCTCCGCCTCAGTCATGGATTCACCAGCCCCCCCCCACCCCCCGGGGCTCCCTGGCTCAAAAACGGGCACCCCATTTACCCTGCTGTCCAGGCCAAAAGGCCTGGACTTCTCGATGTGTATCTTTTCGTACCGTTTAGGTTTAGGCCTTGAACCACGTTGGTGGTATTACCTATTCAGAACAATAGAAACTTGTTTTAAAAAAATCACAAATGAGGTGGGTGCCTGGGTGGCTCAGTCGTTGAGCATCTGCCTTCGGCTCAGGTCATGATCCC